AGCCTCCGACAAAACCCCCCAATGACTGGACCTCTGAGTTATGTAGAAGACCTCCAGACTTTAACCCCTGATTAAGTAGAAAAGTCTCCGAACCAAAGTCTTGAATTAAATTAACATTCCTCTTGGTTTAAGCTGCCGACTGAACCCCCGAATAAAGTAGGAAAACCTCCCGAATTTACCCCGCGGAGATCGAATCGCTAAATGATATAGAAAAGTCTCCGAATTAAGTCCCCTCAATTGAAACCCCCACCCCCAATCAAATAGAAGAACCGGCCGACTAACCCCCCGAAGACTGAACCCCCGAATCATAGATAGAAAAACCCTCCGAAGCAAGCCCCCAAATAGATAGAAAAACCATCCGACTTACACCACCCGAATGTTGAACCCCAATTCAAATATAAAAGCCACCGACTTCAATCCCTCCGATGATAGAACCCTCCGAAAGTTGAACCCCCGAGAACACCCCGACCCGGCATTAATCGGCGTTTCCACTTGCCGGTGGCTTTCGGCGTTTCGGCGTTTGAGTTGAACCCCCCAGCCCGGGGGCACAACGCCGAACGCCGAGCAAGGATGGGTGGATCCGGAGGAAACGCCGAATGGGGGGCATTCGGCCTTTCGGACTTTTCTTTGCTTTCTATGGAATTGTATTCGCCATGCGATCGGGGAGTTTTGACTTGGGATACATAAGTAGGAATTGTAATTGGAGGAATTCCTCTTTATTTGGGGTGATTAATTGTTCGCTAGTTGGTGCTTGGGTGAGGTGTTTGGAGTATAAGTTTGGACTTGGTAGACTGCTAGGAGTGGTTTATCTTCGATTGGTGTTCTATGATGGTAAGTCGGAAGACTGTGGTATTGCATGATATCAATAGTCTTGTTACCCTTGCCCTGGGGCGACATTGATCACGGCTATGGATGACCGGGATGGGACTCTGGAGCAGGAAGCATCATTTTGTTGTTGCGGATGATCAGGCGGTTTAAAATGTTAACAAGGGCCACAGATTCACAATTGTTTATTGCTCTGTTGCTTGAAAGTCTGATTGTTTCTGAATATGCATTTGACGTCATCGCTTCCTTATTTGATAATGGATTCTGTGGCACATTTTTGTCTATGGAAGACTCAGGGTCCTCGCCTGGGTTTCCGAGCAGAGGCCTTGAACATGCTCATCTCAATTCACGGTTGCGGGGCAAGGAAATGGTGCTTGTAGTGGTATTGGTCAAGTAAGCCTGCGGGGCCTGTTGTTCCATGTAAGAGATTTGATCCCATTCTTTCTGCTTGGAATTCTCCCAATTTCTGCTGGAGCAGTAATATCTTACTCCCTTGAGAATCATCATGCTCCAGTAGATGATTTTATATATATTTCGGGCTGTAAAATAGCAAATCCCTGAATCTTTCTTTCAATAATAAATACAGATTTGAGTGATTGAAAACATTCACGAAGTTCGATCCTTGAAAGCCAAAACTATAGTTGGTTGAATAACTGCCAACTACTTCAAAATAGAGATATTACAGTAGCATATATTCAAATTCTAGCAACGCACAAACAAAATTCTACAGTGAGGCACACGACATCGGGGCCCGAATAAAAATAGCCGGATCGGCAAGCTTGACCCGGACAAGCCTTCGCTAACTTCTTGGCTAACCACGGCCAGACTGCCTGGATGGCTGGCACCGTCCAGCTAGTGCCAACCTTGAAGGCAATTGATGAACGCTGAATGGACTGGTCGCTGCTGCGCCACTTTTGAGAGAGTGCTGCTGCCTAGTTCCCCTCTTTTCTGCCGAAGACCCTGGATATTGCCCGATCGCTCGTGAAGTTTTCACTGCACCTCATGCGGCATCGGTCCGTGTCGACGAGAGTGCATCGCAAATATGGCACATGAAGTCTCACGCGATCAATCTGAGGAAGGAGAGCCGTCCTCTTCTCGCGATTTCACTAAACACTCTCCTTTGGAGATGGTCCCTGAGGTAGAATCCGATCAGGATGAGAGCAGCTTGGAAGCTCTACCTTTGACGAACTTCGGTCCTAAACGTCGGCGACGGCGAACCATCACTCGAGTGCATCGCAGCAGGCTACGCAGCCTATGTAATTTCTGGAAATGCCGTCATTTGTATTGTCACATTCACCCGTACTCCCGAAGAGCCATGCTCTGCAGATTCGTAAAGCGTCCCTTCTGGGGTGCTGTTATCGTGCTGTGAGTATCGCTTGTCACCTGCGCCTGCATCAATGGTCGCTCGCTAATTCCATCAAGCGGCCTCCTCAAGATCGCCTCCCTCTTTTGGTCTGGCTTAGTATACCTCTTCCCAGACGACCTTGATGCCCGTCTTGACGCCTGGGTCTTCCCTGCCGGTCGCCCCTCCATATTCTCGCATTGGACCACCCACGGTGTCGTCCCCGTGCGATGCCACTCACACAACGACTACTGGCGTGACGTACCGCTCCATTCGGCCCTCACCGCAGGTTGCATTGGTGTTGAAGCCGACGTCTGGCCATCCAACAATGACTTGCTGGTGGGACACACCCCCTTCACGCTGCACCACGAGGTCACTCTCCGCAGCCTGTACCTCATTCCTCTTCTGGACCTGCTCCAGAAGCACAACACCCGCTCGAGCCAACTCGAGCCCGCGCACCATCCCGGCAGCTTCCGCGCTGGAGTATTCTCCAGCGACCCATCACAGACCCTTGTCCTGCTCATCGACTTCAAGGAGCAGCCGGAGGCCACCTGGTCCATGGTGATGGAGCAGCTCCAACCCCTTCGTGACGGCGACTACCTCACCTATTTCAACGGCACAGACATTACCACCCGGCCCCTCACAGTCGTCGCTACCGGCGATGCGCCCTTCGATCGCATCACATCGAATCAAACATACCGGGACATCTTCTACGACGCCCCGCTAGACCAGCTCGCCCTCCTTCCACCCAGTACCGAACAACCCGATCATCCAGATCGGGAAGCAGAGCCTACCTATTCGTACAAGAACAGCTACTACGCCTCTGTCGACTTCCGCAAGACTATCGGCAGTCTATCCCGCAACCGCTTCTCGCAGGGACAGCTGGAGCTGGTTCGGAAACAGGTTGAAGCTGCGCACGCGCGGGGCTTGAAGGTGCGGTACTGGGGAACCCCGAGCTGGCCGCGGGGTTTGCGGAACCATGTTTGGCATGTGTTGGTACGGGAGGGAGTGGATCTGATCAATGTGGATGATTTGAGGGAGGCCACGAGGCAGGATTGGAGGAAACATCGGAGTTGGGTTTTTTGATGGTTGTGGATGGAGCAGCATGGCTGTGTGCAAGTATATGTCAGCGACGAAGTCATGGATATATGGATGTAACTTGATTAATAACATAAATAACTTACAGTACCTAGATTTATAGTAAATTTTTGCAAGTCTTTATAAGCCTGGGAAAAATCAATCTAACTATTATTAGTATTGTTCTATCTGTCTACGACTTGAGAGCTTGTGGAATCTAAATTAAGGCTTCTTAATACTTGCACGTCGGAGCTGATTTATTGAGGAAGATAATGGTTCAGAAAAATTTGGATGGCTGCATGCTTTATAATTATTTTCTGCTGTGCATCGCTGACAAGCCTTAAATTTGGCAGATACATAGTATGGTGCTTCCGAAATTCGTGGAATACCAAGTGGAATGTCAGTACTTACTGCCTACCGAAGTAACTACATATATACATATATAAATATATATTTACTCTTTTCTCTGAATAATAAAATATACTTGTCAATCCTTAGGATCACTTCTCTATTTCTGTTAGCTTAGCTTTACTGGTATATATACAGCTGAAGCAAGTTAAGAAAGAATTGGGCAAAGATTCTTTTTTCAAAATATACCTAGTCTTAGATAAGAGAAAAGAAGTAAACCTTAATAGTATCACACAGCTATTTATAAGCAAATATAAACAAGTGTCCTGCAGTTAAGCTTCCAAATATATCATTGTTTAAAGATAGTATTATTGAGCATAAAAAAACCGAACTATCAAAGTACAGAGAAAGAGCAATCTTATATCCCATTCTTTATATACCAAATTGTATACTCCTTGGAGTATATCCTGAAGTATATCCAATCACTGTGCGCGGTCCCGTATACTCAAGTGTATGCTTCTGAAGGTATAGCAATCCGCAGCTCTTCTGATTCTGAACTTCTACCGGCTAAGAGTTGCTAATTGCTCGGGTATTACCTTCATCAGCGCTTTCTAGCTGAGGTGTCCTCCTCACTAGTGAGTTAACTAGCAGGGTCTGTAACACCAGTTCGAAGGGATATCAAACAGCGAGTAGGCGATGGCAAAGAGCGTGAGCGTGACTGAGTACCCAGCATCCATCAAGCCGGTTTGCTGCTCGAGTGAGTCACCCGTCTCTGCGTTGAGGAGACGGGAATAGCCGATGTTGGAGCGGTCGAGGTAGTTGAGGAGATAAATGAACGTGCAGGAAGGAAGAAGTTGCCAGTTAATTTCCTGAAGGAGCTATCAGTGGCGTGTGGTGATGTGCTCCACATCCGAGGTGCCAAGTAGAACATGTTCAATGTGGTGGACTTCACTGATTGATTTGTCATCCATAGCTGCCAGCTTTTAATAATAGAATGAAAGTTGACTAGACTCATTGATAATGGGCTAGGCGGCTTTATACGCCGTTGCGGGGCCCTGCATTAACACTACTGACAGGTACTGCCCTGAGGGATAGCTTAGATCTCGTGCGAATATTCCATGGCTATATGCCAAGAAAGAGATATTTACCTAGCAAGGTTACCTCAAATCCTGCCGGATTCCTATCTGACAGTCTGTTGACTGACCTTGGAGATTATAGTGTAGGAAAAGTATATCCCGCGGGATTAGTGGTCTTATAATATAACATAGCACCGTTACTATATGACTGAATGTTGTGAGAAGCCTAGATATCATAGGGATATTGATCTATCCATCCGACAACCAGTTAAGGTCACACATTGATTGAGGGAAAGGGCCTTAATTGGGTAATTGCAGCTACAGAAAAGAAATCATATATGGAGGCCTCGGCTATAGCATAATTTGTACTTATTTCCTTCGAAATTGCCCGATGCAACAGCGGCAGAATACCCGTTAAACTCACCAGTTTCCAGCAGAATATGCGGAACCCCGTCCTCGGTAAGCGAGGGAAACGTCTTCTTCTTTCTCGCTTCCCAACGGATCTTGCGCAGACGATTCGCCCGGTTCCGCGCACTGGACCCAAACCTAATCACTAGCCTAGAGTATTATCTAAACAAATCAATATAATTATCCTGTGGGATAGTCTGCGGGGTCTGATCGGCGACCTTGCCGGCGCTTTGCAGGATCCGGCCAATTTCCGCCGCACACTCTCCACGAAAGCTTCTCGCCGTTCTCGCAGAAGAAGTACGGGGTTTCTGCTCTGCAACTGTCGGAGCGGGGCTCTCTTCGAGCCAGTGCAGAAGAGTGACATAGCCGCGGGCAAGATCTTTGATATACACCTGGTTGCGTACGGCAAGTTCGTCGCCGGTCATCCCAGGGTACCCGTGCTTGATGGAGTAGCAGACCATGGTCGGCAGCTGGATAGAAAGGCACATCTCGCGAGATCTGGCGCCCTAGATGACGGGCAGGATCATGATTACAAGATTAGAGTTGCATGAGAGCTCAGCCGTTTTGCCAGCGCGGACAATCACAAGATCAATTACGCGATACGCGGCCGAGGCTGGAAGGGCGTCGATTGAGGCTGGTTTATTGTAATCATAAATACAATCAGTTTTGTGGCTGTCTTCAGCATTGTACCGATGAGATTCACACCACTAGTACGGATGTAGATTATCTTATGGCCCGCCTGCAAGCACTGTCGAATTCCTGCCAGCACGGCCCCGAAACGAGGGGAGATCATCAGTGGTAGCGATGTGAACGACAATATCACTTACAGCGGTCTGGGCGGCAATTACATCCTTGTCGGCCAGAGTCCCCAGGACAGTCTGCACACCCAGATCGTGAAAGGCCTGACGGGCAGACTCCCTCCGCAGCAGCGCGGTGATTTGGTAGGTCTTTTCCTGGATCGAGCACCTCCCCACCGATAAGACCAGGGCCAATGAGGAAGATGGAAGTCATGGTATCAAGGGCAAATAATAATTGTGGAAGCCAAGCCTGATTTAATTGTCCCAACCGGCATCTATAGTCTGGCGAGTGGAGCCCTGCCGGCTATATGTTCCTCCAAAGGGATCGGATGAATTAACAATCACGGCTTACGAAAGACTAGGTTACTCACAAACGTCCCAACATGGTCCGAAACCTACAACAACGAAATATACACGGATTTGACCTCCGTCCAGGCCAGGAGTCCCTCCTCACCCAGTTCCGGACCCTTTGTTCCCGCCCAGGGGCAGGTCTTGGCAGTAGTACGGCGATGTCGTGTTGACGCCCACAGAGCCTGCCTCAAAGCTCTTGGCGACCCTGATGGCTCGGGTAATGTCGCGCGTGAAGACGCTGGCATAGAGGCCATATTCGGAGGCGTTAGCGGCACGGATCACCTCGTCCTCACTGGTGAAGGTGTTAAGGCAGGATACGGTGCTGCGGATGAAGAGTCAGGAAACGACTGCACAAACAGATGAACAGGAAGACAACTTTTCCGGACCCGAAAATTTCGCCTTTCATCAGAACATGACTCTCTGGCACATCCTGGAAGACGACGGGAGCAACAAAGTGTTGCCTTCCTCCGGCGCGGTGCCAATAGCAAACTTCTTGAGTTTATCCTCCTGCTCCTTTCGGAGGTACTAGGACACGTTCTTGAACTGCTGTGCGTCCGCCTGGGGCCCGAACCGCGTTTCTTTCTCGAGCGGGTTACCGGGCTGACCTGAGAGCTGCCGGATAGCCTGGACATACAGCTGGGTAAATTCGGTGACGATACTCTCCTGCACGTAGACCCGCGAAGAAGCCATACAGACCTGCCTGGAATTAGAGACAATGGAAAAGGCCGCCAAGGCAGCGGCTTTCTTGAGTTCGGCATCCTCGAACACGAGAAGGGGGCTCTTTCCACTGTTTCAATTTCATGGCCATAATCAGCTTCGCTACCTTCCTGACAGTTGGAGAGAATAAGTGGCTCAGCTTACTCTAGTTGTAGCATGCATGACTTGAGGTTTGAATCTACCGCCGCCTTCTGGATAAGCTTCCCAGTATGCTTGCTCCCCGTCAAGGCAATCTTGTGGATGTCCATGTGCCGCGCAATGGCGTCTCCGCAGGGCACACCGAACCCAGACAGGATGTTTAGCACTCCAGGCGGGAAGCCGGCCTCATGGGCCAGTTTGGCGAACAGGATTGAGGTCAACGGCGCCTTTTCGATGACTTTAACACAAGTGTATTGCCTGTGATGAGTGCGGGGCCTACTTTGAAGCAAATCATAATCATTGAGACGCTGTTAATCAGGTAATCAGTCAAGGGGAAGAGGCAGAATATATAGGAAAACTGACTTCCAGGGGATAATAGCGCCTGTAACGCCGTAGGGCTGGCGAATCAATAAGTTCAAGTGGTCTTTAGATGTCAGCGAGGTGACGCCATGAACGTCCAGGGCTTTCCCTGCATAGTCTATGGTAGTAACCGAGTTTAGAGAACAGTTTATTCCGCGCCTAGTTCTACACAGAACATACATCGCAGTGTTGCCCCGCCCAGGGCTTGGTCCATGTACGTAGACACCGGTTTTCCCATGCACATAGCCTCCAATCGGGCGAATTTCTCGGCATTTTCATCCATCAGATCAGCCAAGCGCAGCATGAGACGGCGACGTTCACATCCTAGAGATAGCGGTAATGATTAGGCCAGCGCAAAGAGTTAAAATAAAGATTAGCCATGAACCTACCATCGACCTCTAACCAGAAGGGAAACGCCTTTTTAACACTCTCTACTGCGCGATCAACGTCATTTGCCCGACCCTCGTACACTTGCGCGACAACGTCGCCGCTATAGGGATTGATCACATCAAACTTGGCTCCGTCGATTAATGCCACAAACTTGCCATCAATAAAAAGACGGGTCTCGATGTCAGTTGATGCCATGGTGCGTGTTACAAAGAATACAACTGATCAACACTGGATACGAAAAAGGGCAGTTCCTGAGCTGCCACACAAAAGACGCTTTATATCTGCAAGAGGCTCATCGTGTCAGCATCAGGTTACCCAACCGGATCTCAACTGGAGCCCAAGCCATTCACAACTGTGTCCTGTGACCAATGTCGACCCCGCAGAAGCTCGGTCGTCCTGCTCGGATGCGGGATGCAACTTGTGCTGTGGGAGTTAGGATTGGCGGAGTGTGATTTCAGTTTCAAGTAATACACGATCTTTTGACAAGATTTCTTGTAACGAATTTCTGGATTGTAAGGATATAAAACACGCTAGTCTTTATATAGTTCTTATATGCCAGTCTATTTTATCCAATTAGGGCTTATAACTTGAGTCTACTATAATCACGTAATTCTTTGAAATTGTGACGCTTTTTCCGAGTGAAATTTCAATTTTACAGTAATGGCTTCCAAAAATCGTAATTACACCATCTCTACTGGGGGACCCATGTTGCCGATTAACCTCCACACACCCCACGCCCTCTTCCCCCAACCGTGCTTAGCCAATTTCACAAAAGGGTGAGACATGCATCACCCCCCATTTTCCTCTCCCGAGTAGCGCAAAGTTGATGGTGAGCATCCGTGGAGGGTCGCGATCGATGCTTCGTCGGAAGGAAAAGGTTTGGTTAAAAGACATTGTTATCTCCTCATGCCTGGGGAAAACTTGGCCCATGAAGCCCTGACGAGAACCACTCTGAAGACCAATATACCCACGTGCAGCTTAGTCTAACTGGAAATGACCTATTATTCAGAAGCATTACTCGTGTCCAAGATGGGGGCCAAACCACAATTCGCTCCTGTGGTTCTGGATGCCATTCGCGATTACGAAGTCCTGGTTGAGGTCCATGCTACAGGCGTCTGCCACACGGACATTGACTGCATCGAGGGAAAGCTCCCCGCTGCCTACCCGTGCGTGTTCGGGCACGAAGGTGAGAGACGTGCATCCTTCCCTCTAACTAAGGAGCAAGCAATATGCAACACATACAAGCACGGCTAGGATATAAGAAAAAGAAAAAAGAGAGAAAGAAAGCAAAAACTGCGGTATCTGTCAAGCTATATATCTAACATGCCTCGCCAGGAGCCGGTATTGTCCTCGAGACCGGACGAACCATTACAGATATTAGCCGTGGCGACAAGGTCCTGCTAAGCTACAACTTTTGCGGCAGCTGCTCGCAGTGCCACGCAGGCCACCCAGCCTACTGCGAAAACATGCTCGCACTCAACTTTGGCGGAAAGCGCCTCGACGGCAACAGGACTATGCAATTAGCCAGCAACACAGCCACGTCCACGGAAGGGACAAACGATGCAGACAAAGACGCCATCTTTGCCAATTTCTTCGGGCAAAGCTCGTTTTCCCGCGTCGCACTCGCCTCGCGCGCTTGTGTCAGTGTCGTCGCCCCTGATACTCCCCTTGCTCTCTTCGCCCCGCTTGGTTGCGGCCTCCAGACCGGTGCGGGAGCGGTCTTGAACAGACTCGATGTCCGCGAGGGGAGTACAGTCGCTGTCTTCGGTGTCGGCGCTGTGGGCCTCAGCGCGATCATGGCTGCCGCGCGACTGCGCAAGGCGCGCACGGTGATTGCCGTGGATGTGGATGTGAAGCGGCTGGCCATTGCGACAGAGCTGGGTGCTACGCATACGGTGTTAGCCGGATGCAAGGATGGCGAGGATGTGTTGCAGCAGATCCGGGATATCTCTGCGCCAGCGAACGGTGTCGCGTATGCGGTTGACTGCTCCGGGGTACCCGGATTCGTTGAGACGATGTTGGATGCCTTGGGCACGCGCGGGCGCGCGGCAAGTGTGGGTGCGCCAGCCCCGGGGAAGAGGGCGGGTGTCGATGTCTTTGGCCATTTGACCAAGGGGAAGGAGTATGTGGGATGCCATCAGGGCAGCTCTGTTTCTAAGGAGGTATTTTAATTAGTTCATTGTTTCTTCTACCTGTCCCTCATTTTCTCTTTCTTATAGTTAACAGCACACATACATACACATATTTATATGAATCTAATTATTTAAATACTAATATATATTTTATAGATGCTCTCCTATCTACTCGAGTCGTATAAAAAGAGTGAGTTTCTATTAGAAAAAATAATTATATATTATTCTGTTAAGAAATATTAACGTGCGCTGGATAATTTAAAGTATAGGCAGGTAATTAAAGCTGTAGTCCGTGGATACGAAAAGTGAAACTATGGGCCAAGATCTGAGATCGACGTACCTCCTGGGCCAGAATTGCCCCTCGGTGAGAACCCACCTATTCTCGTCCAAGAGTCACATGCGCGAAGACCTCTGCTCCTGCTCTCTTGTCTGGAGCTGGAGCACCTACGCTAGCAAAAAACAGCTTTCAAAGGAATCTAATTTTCAAAATCACACAGCAACAGAAGGCCCTAGATACCTCATCTTCTCATACGTTTCGCATAACTTTCTTCAAAATCATTCAATACTAATATTATTAGTATTTATTAATAATAGCAATAAGAACATCTAACTAGCCCAATTCAATTACTTTTATATAAAAAATCAGAACACTCCTAATGGATGTGATAAGATCTACTTGTCAGGGTAGGAAACCTGTCAATTAGGTAAGGAATCAACCATGAAACACTATGCATTCACATAAGACAAAGGTAGCCTATACCCACAGAGTAGACTAATCCTTGAAGGATCAGTGAAGGATCAATAGTCCATCAGTAATGATCGCTATCTTATACCCATCATAAAGGGCTGGGTCAGCTATCGATGACATCACGACTCCAATAACCGGTGCTATACGTCAATTTGATGGCTCTAACCACCATAGACCAGCTATTCTATCGCATAACACGCGTTAAATTCCTGATATAATATAAAATATAATATATCATGAACTAAGCAAGGACTCTCAGGTATATCTAAATCTAAATTAAATCATAATAAAAATATATAGATTTCCTTGTCAACCTACTAAAATATATTTCAAAATATTTCTATTTTGACAATAGGATTACGAGGCCTTCCATATAGAAATTAAAAAACCATATTAAATATTTTCGAAAGTAAGAAAGAATAGATTTAGTTGTTCTAAAAGCTTTCTGGGCTTATATCTTTCAGTTGTAGAAGGCACTAGATAATTTAGGATGAATGTCGAAGAAAGAAACATGGGGCTAGAGGAAAGATAAAACGGTGCTCTCAGGTCGTGTGACCACTGCCATTCACAGAGTCTACCCTCCATTTCATTCGCCTATAGGGAATACTAGCCTATACTGTCACAGCTTGCCCCGAGTCCCCGACACATAAAAAGGAGGGTGGCTGGAAGGTAACCTATTGTTATATGCCCGAAGGACCCGTACAACGCTCTTCCTGGCTTCCGCATTACTGCCAGACATGTCGCATATCGTGGGATCATGTGAGGCTGCGAAATTCTGTGGGCGTCGGGAAACGGTGCGTATTGTTACAATAACTGCAATACGTACCCCCGATACTAAATTACTACACAAAACCCATAAGGAACTGGGCCCCTCAGTAGAACCACTATCTAGTTGATAAGTTACCGCACCATGGCTTGACATGGATTAATCGTTCGCTTATTGTCGAGCGCTCGCAGACGGATGACGTTATCTGACTAAATCGATGTGAGGAGCAGGATCATCCGATCCTGGATATCTATCTCATAACCGGCAAGGTCACTGTGATAAAGTACGGACCGCCCCTCAACAAATGCTTCCTCGTTCCTTTCAAAAGAGCACCCGCATGACATCTTCTTTCTGAATCTCAAGCTACTTGTCTTCCGCTTACCATTTTCGTCTTCGTCAACACCATGAAAGCGGCGGTAATTCACAAGTCCGGCGGTCCCGAGGTTCTAAAGCTCGAGGACCTGCCCATTCCTATTGCCAAAACTGGCGAGGTCCTAGTTCGCGTCAGAGCGTTTGGGCTTAATCGCTCGGAGCTCTTTACTCGGCAAGGTCACTCGCCTAGTGTGGAATTCCCACGGATTCTAGGCATCGAGGCTGTGGGCGAGGTAGTTGCAGCTCCCGGAACCGAATTGAAGGAAGGCACCGCGGTTGCAACGATCATGGGCGGCATGGGGCGACAATTCAACGGTAGTTACGCGGAGTTTACCTGTGTACCGGCTTCTCAAGTCAAGGTGCTGCCATCCAACCGCCTGACATGGGAGGCTCTCGGGGCGCTGCCTGAGATGCTACAGACCGCATGGGGCTCACTTTTCTCGGCGCTACGACTGAAACCAGATGAGAGGTTACTCATCCGCGGCGGTACGACATCAATTGGACTCATGGCTGCGGCTATCGCCAAAAAGCACGGGGCCTTTGTCGCTGTGACGACTCGCCAGCCAGGACGGGTCACAATGCTGCAGGAGAACGGTGCAGATCTTGTCTTCATCGATGATGGAGCGGTTGCTGGGCAGATTAAGCAGCAGGGTCTGCAGCTATTCAATAAGGTCCTTGAGCTGGTAGGCACGGGAACGCTGACAGATTCGCTCCGCTGCGCCGCCTGGCAGGGTAGTGTTTGTATGACAGGCATGGTCGGCAACGAGTGGACTTTTGAAAAGTTCAGTCCTATGGACATTGTCCCGCACACCGTTAACCTGACCATTTACTCCGGCGGGGTGGAGGACTTCATGGCCACACCATACGAAGAGCTGATCCCGCAGGTTGAGGCAGGCATTTTGAAGGTGCGCCTTGGCAAGACATTTCATTTGCAAGAAATCGTTGAGGCACATCGCTGCCTAGAAGCTGGCAGTGCAGGAGGGAAGATTGTAATCTTAACAACCTAGGTTACCGCAAGTTGGCAAAATGCAACCTAAGTCGTTTATTCTATGCGCTATGTGGGCTGAAATAGAGAGGGATATGACATGTGGCATGACGAGATTTAAGATTCGCGAATGAGCTGAATAACTGTCAAGCTGTTCGATGCTTTTGCAACAAATCCGGATATATGAATCAACGTCTACACGTACATACTAGGGGAAGTATGTAAAAGCCTAATTTGGAGTGGTGATGTTCGATTCTAGATAGGACTGCACTTCGCCCGTCTATTCAAATAAATTCACATGCCATGTACGACCGAGGAACTGTGGCAGAGTGGTCTAACTCTGCTAGACGTGCGAAGGAGAAAGGATAGCCTGCTCGTTCCTACCTTGAAGCGCCTGGAAACATACGACACGCGAAGTGTACGTGCTTTCCTCGTATAAAGTACCTCTCTAATGCGCAATTAAAGATTATGAAGCCGCACTCAAGACCTACAACGAGATATATCAAGAAGTAGACAGTTATCTACTTGTCTATACTAATGGCAGCGGCTATTAGGCGATGTAGGTGCCACGGCCTTCTATCAGTGCAAAACCAAACTATCGAAGAGGAGAGATAATCCAAACAGATTCTGCTCTCTATCGTCTGATACACGACTGGTTGATATAATTCTGTTGATTTGGGGTTGCTTACCGGAGACGGCTGAGGTGAAACTGTTCTAATACAAACCATACAAAACCGAAGCAGCTCGGGAATCCCGAGTGCCGCACTTAGCCGTCTCTCAGATCAGTAGCCCCACCTCTCCGGCAAGAACCCGATGGGGCGTGTCAATTCACCAGAAGGCTATTGGTAAACCACCAAGAAGGAGAGCTTTGCATCTGCATGTGCAAACATACCAAGGCGAACAATCTATGCAAATTGAGCAAAATGGACAATCTAAATCGCCTTATGTTTGCAGGTTTAGTGATTAGAGTGGCAAACGGCCAGGTCAGGTCAGGTTAATTGAAAATCTTATACCTGGCGGTTAATAGATTTTTACACTCAATAACAGTTACTATTTGCCCGCGTGCTGCCCTTATCGGCGCTTTCTGCCTGGCGAGTCCGCCTTACTAGTAGTTAACTAGCAGTGATCTGTAACAATTTCCTTATTTAGAGAGCTGTATTAAAATAATATTATTATAAACTTTATTATATGGCTGTGCTCAGGCTACTATACTAAATACCTCTTCATGCTCGTTCCGCTGCGTGTTCCTAGATAGTAATACAACACTGATTCTGCTGCATTCTTTGCTTCTTTCGTTCCTTCCGCTTGTGGAGCGTTCGAACAGAATTTGTGTCTGAGGTCTATAGACAAGATATATTACTTACCGACTTAAGCCCCAGGAATGTTATGATGGTTCCACCGGGCCCACGCCGGCAATGCAACCTTGTATTTCTGGACTTTGCTGGCAGTCTCTTCGGCAGAAAACTGGATGAGCCGCTGCTTGCCGGTAGGGAGTTTTTCCTTGGGCAGTATATCTCTCTAATCCTGCGATGGAAGAGGGGCATGAAGCTTGAATTCGACGAATGGATTTACTGAGAATGGGCGGACTGGGTCGATGCGGAATTTGCTCTTACCGCCCACACTATCACTCCAGGAGTGCGTGAGGGATACAGTAAGAAATAGGTGTGCTCACACGGCAAGATGATCTCATGGCTATTTTCCCTCTGCAAACCAAACGGGTTCTACACACGTCAGTGCATTCGAATCCCGGTACAACTAGTTGAACTGCAATGCCAGCTCAGATGACATACCGCTATCGACGGGCATCGGATGGCAGAGTCTGGCTGATCTTGGGGTCATACGGCAGGCATAATTACCAGGAAGCCCACGGCAAGCACTTGTGTGAATCATTCAAAGTCTATGCGCCTATTGCACTGGCCTAGAATGTGCGTATAGACAATTGATTGTTCGAAGCTTGTGAACGACTTACCCTTGCTCTGAGTCATATTTCATTGCGGAATAATGGCGTGAGCAGAAAATGGGGACACAATGCCATACACCTTCTCGACGACCATAACACAATACCTCTCAGTCTGATCAATCCGCGGATGCGTGATATATTTCCTTCGAGCACAACAACAAGAGATATGATCTGTCTTCTCGTTTTCTGGTATGTTTTCTCTAAAGTGGTCTATCTAGTATGTGGGAAAGAGAGCGATGGGCTCAGACATGCCGTTTCCATTTCATGGCGTAATGCCACTTCTCATTGACGCAGACGAAATCACATCAAAAATATTCTCCAGTACTCCATGGATGCTGATTCTCAAGCGTCATAAAACAATAACAATAACATCAAGGATGCAAATTTTATAATATAATTACAACAGGAAAGTAACTTATCTAATCACTATATACAGACACATCCTACGAGGTAGTATTTGCTTTAGACGCCCTGCTTCGGATTGCTATTGATATACCGTAGTGGCATGGGTATTTCCGTATTTCCGTTATTTGCCGCGTGTAACCAGTCAGTTGTCATAAATCATGCATTGTGTGGTGTGCATAAAACAACATTCTTATTTTTGGATCTGATGTTATGAAGGGATCTGGTGTGACTTTTGTGGGTAATGAGTGCTACTACCAATGAGGTCCTGTCCTGTCCACGGGATGCACCCAATCTGGATACTTAGTACTTACTACCACTACGTGGGACGATGACATTGACTAGGATCCGATTTGCGGAGGCTTGGCCTGGGGACCCCGCACTGGACCCATCGTGCTTATGCAGGTGCTATGATCTTCTCGAAGTGCAGTCGAAGGCATATGTGGGTCTACTAACTACGATGGCGCTAGAAGTTCCATGTGTGAATGGTATGAAAAAGAATCTGTATTCAAACAGTATGTCCAAGGGTCATCGCTGAAAAGTTCGACAAATGCAAAACTATGTACATCAAATGCTTCGTATCACCAAATCATGGCATGTGTTTCTGCTTTTTTACAGCTTCTCCTGGGTCTTGCTGGCCTTGTTGAACCGCTCGAAGGAGGAGACCGGGGGAGCGGAGTTGGGGTTGGGGTGGTGCTTCTTCAGAGCCATGGTGACGTTGTACTCCAGGTCGAGCTGGGCCTTGGGGTCATCGGTCTTGGGCTTGAAGTCGACAACCAGATCGTCCTTGACGGCGAAGACGGAGTCGATGTCGAGATGAGGGTCGTCGGAGGGGTAGATCTGGTTGATGACGGTGGCGTAGTCGGGGTGGGTGATCATCAAGTGAATGTGGGCAGGACGCATGGGAGAGCGGTCCATGAGGTTGAGGAGAACACCGGCGGGACCGTCGGTGGGGAGAGAGTAAGGAGTGGGGTGGTAGCAGTACCACCAGAACTCGCCCTTCTCGTTGGAGCGGAACTTGCCGCGAAGGTTGTTCTCGGTCTGGTTGGGGTCCTGGAAGTCGTACTGGCCGTTGGCAGAGGCTTGCCAGATGTCAAGAACGGCACCGACGATGGGAGCACCAGTCTCCATGTCCTTCAAAACACCGTGCATGAAGGTGACCTTTCCGTTGGGGTTGGGGTCCTGAATGATGCTGTCGCCGAGCGCACGGAAGGGAGCGTTGGGAGACCAGAAGGGACCGAGAATGACGTTGGAGGTGGGGGAGACACCGTCCTCAGTGATGATCTTGTTGGCGATCTCATCGACAAGGCTGTGGGGAGATGATAATTAGCTTTGAGTCTGGTGCGATCGCTATTGTTGTGTGGTGGACTTACGATTCCAGACCGATGACATCGCAGATACGGTGGCACTCGTTACGGATGGGAGTGCTGATCTTTCCGATGGAGTTGATGAACTCGACACCAAGCATCCACTCAGCGGAAGTAAGCTCAACCTCACGAGCGAAGTCGTGGATGTGTCTGATCAGGGCGCCAAGGACCACACGAGCACGCTCGGGGGTCTTGGGTCCCATGGCGTTGACCACATAGGGAGTGAAGTTAGGGTCGAAGCGGCGGTTGGTAGACATGTTGTCTGTGTGTGTATGTGTAGTATAAAGAGGAGAAAGGTAGAAGGTATGAAGGTTGAGAGAAGAGTGAGATGTAGAATGATGAGAGACAAAAACTCAGCGAGGTCTGGAGGGTCTATATACACGATGGATTTGGTCGTGGCAAGTCTGGATAGAACGGCGAGCGACGGCAAATCGATCGGCTACAACTCCGTGTGGGGACAGTGCGACGGTACCAGACACCCAAAGTTACCGTTGCCACATGCCGACGGATCTGATGGGTTGCATGATGCGATGTTTCAGTTTTCGCAGTTCGTAGTGGGAACAGCCGAATAACGGCAGGTTGCATTTGCCTTGCCGAATTAGCAAGATTACCTGCATATCAAAATCGATAATTGATTTTGATATCAATCTGCATTGCTGCGCGGTGATCCCCGGGGTTGCTCTTACCCGCGGGTAAGTGCTCCCTGGCTTCCCCAGCTCTCCGCCTTCCTATCCGGACTGACACCTTCTCGACGAACTGTTTTTCCGCCCTGCCATTCACCTACCGACCAACAGCCTTGTTGGCAATGGGCTGATTATACTTCTGGACTAGGGGTTCTATGCACAGCATCCTCATCGTGTGGACCAATCACGATGGTTCAAGTAGTAATCCTACGCTGGGAAGCAGCTGAGCTTTCTGTCAGCTCTTGGCTCTCTCCCCAATTTTTCATTTGACATTTTACAACATATCATCATAAATAAATACACATGGTCATTCATTTCTATTTGGGGTTTTTCCCTTATAGAAGTTACAGAAGAAACTGTCACAATCAATATCCTGGCAATCCCTCTATGCTGCTCATGATTCTGCCGGCAAGTCGACGGCTGGCAATCCGGGGGCGGGGGCGGGGTGACTGCCGGGGGGAAAAACAAAAACCTGCGCTCTTCCCCAAAGAGGACAGCGGTGTGTGCTCCTTTACTTTTTGACGGGCTCTAATTGGCGCTGACCCTTTCCGGTCTCGAAGCCGATATGAGACCGGCATCCGGGCAGGACCCCGTTGCCGTTGGGCACGTGCCATCCTTAATCTCGGGATTGACAAGCGGGGCGGCATACCGATGCCCCGGGAAGAATGACCCCAGGTCGACCACGCTGCACTGTAGGGCAGTATCCGGGGTGGTGATTAACCACGGCTACCCCTGGATGTCGTATGATTGTAAGCCGGGGGAGTGGATCTACCCTCTTCCCTCTCAACACGGCATCGCTGCCGACTTTGATTCACTCTTCCGTCGAGTTGAGGGTTGCGGATGAGCTACCGGTAGAATCAACCATCTACTGCCGTGACAGGGCACCTCTTTTACACATCAGACCATATGTGACTATACGAGTATAGTTTCTAGTCAATTTCAAAATGACTCAGTTGCTTTCAACAATTGGCGCCTCTTATGCCGAGTTGGGCGACACTTGTATGGTAGTAGACTGTGTCAGACTAATCTTCCACGCGAGGCCTCACATACACTCTGTACCTGGTAGTTCACGCCAACTGACAGCCCTGCCTCCCACAAACTGAGCTAGCCTGACTCAGTCAGTCACACCTCATTGGCGCGCATTCCCGCCTGCGATCTATGCACCAAGTAGCCTAGCCACGTGCGACCAGCCTTAGTGATGTGGACCGGAAACTTACCAATACACCACCAATAGACACGAATGATAGACTCTTCTCCCCTCGCTAGCCGCAAGAGGCATCCGAGGAACTTTCCATGTCGTCAAAGCTCCATAACCACGACATGCCATCCGTCCTTGACAAGCGGATCCCGTCAAGGGACAAACAAATCCCGGGGAGTGGACACCAGGACCGTCCCGATTCCTTCCCCGGATGTTCCCAAACCTTCTATACTTGGATACGTCTGCGGCAGGGACCAGACTAGGTCATAGTTGCAGTAGTGAGCCCACCTAGTAGTCTCTTGGCTACCTGTTGTCATCGCCTGAGGCACCAACTGGACTTAAAATGGTCTAGACTGGACTCTGCACGCTGTTCGATTAGTCTTTCCCCGGTATTAGCACGGCCCGTTCCTGGCTAACTGTCTATTGGTGCAGTCCCTGCAGTCGGAGGGTCTAGCATGGGGTTCATCCTGGTTCAATGATCGTTGGAGAACCGTGTATACTTGGTTGCAACCCATGTCAGAGGCGGAACATTAAACATGATGCAAATTCCTCATATGTATCTATTTCTTCCAGTAGGCTTCTTTCAGTTGAAATTCTTTATAGGTGAAACTTCTTTGTATGCGATTCAGTTTTTGGAAGTTGTATAGATTTGGAGATGTCTCATTGCGGAAATCTTCATTATGGGTTTTTGCTTGCACTGGACTTTCTATCAGTCACTGTAAAACAAGACTAGTAATTGTGTTATACTTTTTACGGCCTTTGTTAGCTAAATCTGTTCTAAACAACTAATTCTTGATGAATGCCAAAATACAACTGTGGAAAATCGTGTGTTGTTGGCATTTGCATTGATAGTGTAGATATATATTTCTATGCCCTATACTCTAGTACCACCGTAGACGCTGAACCGGCACAATTGCAGACGCATTTGCAATCTACAAAAATGACCAGTTAACTATAAACCTCCTTGTTCATTGTAATTCAGGTCTTACTTTAGAATAGCATTTCTGATCGAAAGTCTCATGTCTCAAAATCAAGCCTGTACTAATAAATTCTGCGACCATTGTTGTTACGAATAGATATGCCTCAGGCATGAATTGTTTCTACGCAACCCTAGCACCTTCCACCAAGGGTCAGTTGCAAACATAAGAAATAATTGGCTGCAATGATAAATAGACTTCCCAATTCTGGCCACTCCCTCGTCCCATCTACGAATCAGTCCAATTTTGCTCCTATCCTTCCATGGTCACCTCCTTGCCGATGCATGGTACATTGTTCCTCCGCTCCGGGGAGTCAGTTGGGGTCAGACCCGATCCTGCCCGGGGCGGCAGTTACGCTATCCGGCCACGCCCGGCCAGTGCAGACTCGGTAGTTGAAAAATGTCAGCATCCGTGATTCTCCTCCTCTTTGGTTCCAACCCCGGCTTCACTTGTCTCCGGCCTGAAGACTTGGTCCTACCAGCAGCCACACGCGATTCTATTGGACACTGTAATGGTACGATGATCATGTGCATGGTTACATTTACTATCGATTCAGCAAAGCCTAACTTCCCTTGGGGTTGACCGTAACAGTGACTGAGAACTTCTCTGATTCGCACTCCCTTCCCATCTATGACGCTGATCCTGGCCACCTACGGACAGCTTCTCCGCACTGGCTCTCCACTGCCCCAGCACCTCCCCGGATTTCCACTGGCGCATCCATCCATTGCATCTAAGTAATGATATCAACCTCGTCCCAATTTTGAGACCCCATATCTTCAGCGAGCATCATCACTCAATTAGATCGAAGATCAAGCTCAATTCCCCTAGGCCGCCATGTGCGATCCAGATACTACCCGTCGATCCCCCGCTTGGGGAAGACGATCGAGCAGGCCCCTGGCTTGGAGATACTGTATTCCTCTCCTATTTAGCTAAATAGCAAAGACCCCAGTATAATTCCCTATCTTCATATTCTACACCATTTCAATGAAGACAGAATGCCTTCAGACAACCTCTCCATCTTCCCCTCAACATCAATGTCTTCCACCCCCAGTTCCCAAGAGAAACCCCCACCCACCGAACCAACCCTCGTGAGAACAAACACCTCCACAGCGACTCCCAATGACTCCTTCCACTTCGACTTCGGGCCCCTCGCCCACGTCAACACGGCAGGAACCACCTATCCGGCCTTCGCAGGCGAACTCCAACCGGGTCTATGGAAGCCCCAGAAGCGCCGTAAGATGGCCAATCCCGCACCGTTAGGACTCTGCGGGTTTGCGCTCACGACATTCCTCCTGGGCTGCATCAACATGCAGACGCTGGGAATCGCCACCCCCAACATCATCGTCGGGCCTGCTTTCGCATACGGAGGTCTTGTCCAGCTTCTCGCGGGCATGTGGTACGTACATGCCTCCAACCCAGAAACTCAATTCTTCCATCCACCCAACCATAAACCACTAACCAACGAAACCAGGGAAATGGCCGCCGGAAACACCTTCGGCGCAACCGCGCTCTCCTCCTACGGCGGATTCTGGATCTCCCTATCCATAGTCTTCATCCCCGGCGGATTCGACATTCAGGGCGCCTACAAAGCAGCCAATAATGGCAGCTTGTCGATGTTCTATGACGCATTCGGGTTATTCCTAATGGTACTACTGCCACCACCTCCCCACGCCCATACCCCCCACCAAGACTGATTTGGAATAAAATACATACAGGGCTGGTTCATCTTCACCTTCCTCCTCTGGCTCTGCACGCTCAAATCAACCTACGTCTTCTGCGCCCTCTTCGCAGCCGTCGATGTCGCCCTTCTCCTCCTAGCAGTTGGGTATATTCATCGCACAGCGCCGGAGGTACCCAACGCGAAGATTATTAAAGCGGGTGGGTTGTTTGCATTGCTGGGTGCGTTTATGGCTTGGTATGTTGCACTTGCGGGCATCGCGGACGATAGTAATAGTTTCTTTCTTGTTCCTGTGTTTCATTTCCCCTGGTCGGAGAAGGGGAGGGAGTCGAGGAGGAAGGGGGAAAGTGGGGAGAGTGGGGATAGTGTTTGATTTGATTTTGATACCATGGCTTTTCTGATGTATTATGGGGGTTTGTATGTTTCATGTGTGACGAGTATGGTGTTCTTGGGTTTGGGATGCTTGCTTTGTGCTTTGTGCTTTTGGTGACTACTTTGGATTGCTATTTGGGATGGATGGATGGATAGATATGATGGGATTTGGGCGCTTGGGTTAGTACTTGACTTCTTACTTTCTATTTGGGTTTCTCCAGGTATTAGACCCGCGCCATTCTAGACTAGATGCGACTCTACGTCCTCCAAGCTAGATGATGATATGAATACCAATATATTTACTACCAGAGCGCCATTAAGTTAGGACACCTAGACACGTACACCCAACATAAGAATCTGCGATCAACCACCAATTGTATAAAAAAACAAGCATATCACACATCACCCCAACTACCCACACAACAAACCACCAGAGACAGCGGTATAATCACCACATCCGCAAATACGCCCCCACACGCCTCCACCGTGGCATACCATAATACTTATCCAACCGCCGAATCTCCTCAGCAGTCAACACCGCCCTTCCCGTACCCAAATCAGCAGTGTTTAGATCGCGCCACTCGGTCCGAAAGATAATCTTGTACAGTACCGTGGCAACGATAATCAATATGAGTCCGATGGTGTAGGAGAAGAAGTTGTATGCTGAGAAGGAGTCGTCGATCTATCATCGATTAGTCATGGGGTTAGGGGTTAAGCTTAGTGTGTCGGGTAGAGAGGGGGATGTCTCTTACTGGTTTGATCCCCAGATAGAGAAGACAGACAAGAAGTAATGTCGATATGATAAGAACAGTGACTGGGGCTAGTGGCCATAGGGGGGAGTGCCATGCGTAGGCTGGAGTTGTTAGCAGCGTGCTGTTCTGGGCTTTGATGGCGGCGCGGAAGCGGAACGAGGTGATTGCGATGATAGCCCAGTTGGTGAAGAAGGAGGCGCTGGTTATGGCGATGAGCCAGTTGAGGACTTCGAGGCCGCCGGCTATGATTGTCTTCGTTAGTATTGCTAGGGAAGTTATGGATGAAAAGTGCAATGGACTCACCGCTCAAGCTCATGTAGGTGATTGTAACCCCTACAACGGCAGTAATGGCAAGTGCCCATCTTGGACGACCTTTATCGTCGACTTTGGCAATAAACGAGGGTAGTAGTTTTTGTAGTGCCATGGTGCGGAGAATGCGAGACGGAAGGAATATGCCTTCTAATGCGATGGCGAGGATACCGATGATTAGACACGCATTGATGAGACTGGGAATACCCTTGATTCCGGCGTCTTCGACGGCAATCACAAACGGGGATGTAGTCACGCTGGAGCCGCCTAGTAGTCGTGAATCGTCTGAGGGAACAATGATCGAGACGAGCACCACGGAAACGAGATAGAAGACTGCTACTCGCCACGGGACTAGATTGGCTGCGTGTGCCATCGAGTAGCGAGGAGATTCGGCCTCGCCGCCCATGACTCCGATGAAGACTTGATCACCAGCGGCCCAGATAGCAAGTAATGCGGCGTTGGCAAATCCCTGCATCCTTGGCTTAGCTCTGATCGGAACACGATTCGCATGGGGTACTAACACCAAAACCATTCTTAAATGCTGGGAGCTCTGTCCATGTACTTCCGTCTCGTACATACCCCGACGGACCGGCTCCGCCGATTATCGCCAGTGAGATAATGGTGATGAAGAGGAATAGCAGCACTTTGACCAAAGAGCCAAAGTATTCAAGCCAGCCGAAATACTTGTTCGGCACCAAGAAGACCGCCAAACAGATAACCAGGTATATCGTGACTACAGATGTAAGCAGGTGCCGTGCGTATAGGCTGAAGCAGACTCACGCAAAGCTGCTTCAGGAATGGCCCCATCGGCCCAGAAGTTGACTAAAAGCACGAAGAAGGTCCCTTCGGACGCAAACACCGTCGTCCATCCTAGCAATAGATGAGTTCATATGCCCGTTACAATGTCTGAGCTCGGCCACTCACCTAGCCATTCTGCAACGCCAGCACCAAAAGCCAATGCTGGGTCAACCCATCGATCGGCGTAGTCGATGTAATTGCCTGACGTGGGAAAAGCGATCGTCATCTCAGACAATGTCTGCAGGTTGGCCCAGACTCCGATGCAGACGATCAAATAGCCTATGAACATGTTTCCTGGGCCTCCCTCGCCTAGAGCCTTCCCCGTCGCTATGAATAAACCACTTCCGACATTGGAACCCAGAGATATTACCTGTCTTAGTCAGTATTACTGTGTGGTTTGGGTTGCGGCATGGTGCATACGTGAATCAGGCGCGGAGTTAATGTTCGATGCAGTGTCCCCGATCCTTCCACGTTGGAGTCTATGTGACCTTCGTCCACCGACTGTGTGGACGTGAGATCCAGTGTTTTCTCACTGCATACTTTTGAGGAGCTATCTGGTCCATTGATCACTTTCAATTGGGATTCCATGACAGCAAGATGAGTAGTAATTCAGTTCGTGGGCGATTGAGTGATCGCCAAAGCAAGGGAAACAAATTGATCTTAAGAATAAGTTATTGCATATAGGGAATGTGACTATCGGTTTATCAACTCGCTCTCACCTTCCCGAACCAAGATCTCCGCACTGATAAGAGGCAAGCAGTGGTTGATCCGACTCGCTCCTGACCTATCGCTAATCAGCTAGGCGGGGATTCGGACCTCAGTTGGTTGCTGCTAAAGCACGGGAACGATTGGCAAGATAAGGGGTTTCGCAGGTGCTCGTTCCGAGTTAATTCAAAAGCACCATTCTTAGCCCATCAGGTCTTCTCGGGATCCTAGTCCACGGAATGTTGGGCATTCCAGAGAGGTCTCGAACGTGCCATACCCTCTGGACAAATTCAAGGGCCACGGTAAACATACGGTTTCTGGTACTCTCCCCACATCGTTCTAGCCATCTAATGAAGGCCTGCCTGGTCTGAGTTTCAATTGCTTCAGATACGGCATACATGGGAAAAGCAAATTTACATGTCCAGCCTGGAGGACCGCGTCATGAAATGCCAACGGCTTGATGCCTGGGACATAGTCGAGTCCATTATCTGCAGTGGGAAATGCCAGTCTCTGGGGGTTTATATTGTTGTTTGACGGTTGTCGATAATTTTCAAGCAGAGCCTGATGGAATACATGGAACAGCCCGTTGCCCAGCATGTAGCTGTTTTCATATTGATCCCCTTGCTTGTCCAGTTCATTCAAGATGGATGCAAGCGATGTACCGTGTGTAAAAGCAGCTCCGAGGCATTTTTAGTTGTCGTCCTACCACACTGATCTGTGGTGACTGTATCTTAAATAAGCTACCACCTCAAGGTAATACCGCTGAACAAAGGTCTGCTGCGTGCATGTAGCTCTTCCAGGGCAGTCTCGTGCATGTGGCCAGCGCGGAGATAGCCAAAGCAGACGCGGTGGGTTCGATGGGCGCTCAGGGTTGAGCTTCCGCTTCTCACCATCGAACACCGGGACCTGGCTCGGTCGCATCTCAACTTCCTGGCTCGACAGGAAAAACAAGCAGCATGGGAAGCCATAATGCGCGTCTGTAGCCTCTCTAGACTGTAAGGAAGCCCGTGCATGACTACGTCGGCACGTCAGAATAGTAGCGATACTTGAATCCATGATGATTGGCTGTTGATGCGGGGTTTGCCTATGATATGTTATCACCTTGACACATCTAGTAGGGATCGAGTTGCCATTCATGTCGTCGCAAGACGGCCAGATGCGGAGAAGGGCTCTAGGATGATTGGCGGCTGCGGCTCCACCTGCCAAAACAGCCTGGAGATACTCCGCTTCGGGGTCACATACTTGAATCAAGCTGCCACAAGAACAGATAAGAAGCCGTCCTACCGCTCGATATGCAGACTGCCATCGTGCTATATCACCACGAAAGAGTTCTCTTGCTGTTATGGCTGTCAAGCAGCTCCCGATTCAACGCATCGACCGGGCCGACGTGGAGGCCATCATCCAAGCCATCATCAAGGATGGCTGCTGTATCATCAAGGATTTCACTGATGCGGCAACTATAGAGCAGGTCAACGAGGAAGTGCAGCCTTACCTTGATGCTGACAAGCCCTGGAAGGTAGGTGGGCAGACCCTTTTGGACCCTTGCACGTCTAACAATATCAGGGTGACCTTTTTCCACCTGAAACACGCCGCTGTGCGAACCTCGCAGGCCGTAGCAAAACTGCCCGGGAAAATTGGCTGGTCAATCCACTCATTCGTGCTCTGACAGCGAGGTTTGTTGACAAGACAACCTCCAACTTCTATGGAGAAACAAAGCATACATATACCAGCGAGGCGATCTGCTCGATCGCGATGACATTCGACATAGGGCCTGGTGCCAAGGCACAGCGGCTTCATCGTGACGACAAGAACTTTCATGTGGATCATGAAGACCAGAGCACCACGGGCTATCGGGTGGGCTCGGATGTAATGATGGCCTTCATGGTTCCCGGGATCAAGACAACAGTCGAGAATGGTGCCACCGTCGCCATCCCCGGTAGCCACCTGTGGGGTTCCGACCGGGCACCCAAGCTGGACGAGGCCATCGCCGCGGAGTTGGATGTGACCGACTGCTGGGTGATGCTGGGAGGACTGTACCATGCAGGGGGCGCGAACGTCACACAAAATGAGCGACGGGTAGTACATGGCATGTTTTTCACGCGCGGATTCCATCGACAGGAGGAGAACGTTTATCTTGCCAACACAGCTGAAGAAGTTCTGTCCTGGTCTCCAGAGGCTCAGAAAGTGATGGGATACGAGGTATCCAGTCCCAACATTGGGTTTGTGGGCTTTCAGACCCCGCTGCAGTATTTGCGCGGAGAGGGAGTCGGCGACGCATTCGGGGACTTTGATCCTTCCCAGGAGCAGCCTAAATAAGGCCACGGATCCTGACTGCGTCGTGTCGTTTCACCGCAGCCACTATTACAAGCAGTCTTTCTCCGAAGTTGAGTTAGTCTCTGATCTAAACCTAAAGGAAGAGTTTTGAAAATTATCCTCGATCAGCTTTGGGTATAGTGCTTTTCGCAAGGGTCGCCGTCACGGAAAGCAGCAGCATTCGAAACAGTAGGCAGCGTTGAGCGTTAGTAGACTTAAATCATTCGTCGGGGAATGCAGTCTCAGTTAAATTAGCACAGGCTAGCGAGTAGAGCATCTTAGTAGGCGTGAGATCATTCCACGACAGCTGCGTTCCCGACTAGTGTCACAACAGACGACACAGCAATTCCTAGTCACGCCTTGCTCTCACAAAATGTCAGAAATCAAAGAACCTCAGGTAACCGGGCACCGGGTAGCTGGAAATACTTGGCTCTGTGATGCCATGTCGACATGTGCGAGGCAACAGATCCCTTGAGTCAGGCGGTCGTCCTACGTAACATCAACTCAAGGCATCCTTCCACATGTCATGGGGACGTCCTCACTGGCTTTGCCGGTCCCGGCTCGGTGGATAGGCAACCGCCGCATGACCGACATTCGCACATCGGAACGATCCGTACAGATGCGTCCCAACGTGCAACGGGTGAACGGGAAAACTACAGGAGGGCACATGGTATGACTGCTCTGCAGAGACGAGCAGTGGGGAATGCATCCGTTACGCATGAAGATGAGGGGTTGTAGCGTTCATTGGCCTGCTGCGAGTTTTAGGTTACCACGCTAGTCAGGTAGATTGTTCTGGACTCGAGTACTTTCGTGAGACGCTTTTACCAGTCCCTGGTGGCCTCTTGTTCTGACAATCGTGAATTGCAAGGTTCCAAATGTGATATACCTGCAGGTCATTAAAGGAGAATTCGATGTCGCCGTGACTCTTGTCAGATGCCCCTATTGCAGGGACGATGAGCAGGCAACTTTGGAAGAGATGTGCCACGTATTGTTAGTGCAGACACGGAAAGGAAATTGCATGTAACAGCTCCTTCTGTGCTAGCATAATCACTGGTAGAGCATTGGCCTTCTGTGCCAGGATAGGATGGGTCAGCCATCCGTCCGCCAACATTATGGGTGAACGTTGGCGGTCAGACTTAATGGCACCACTCTGTCCATTGACGGGATTTTGAGGAATGCAGCAGAAGGCCAATCCCGACGAAGGGTGGGGAGTGGACCTATCGGACTTTCTTTGATTAAGACGAGCCTGGAGGTCTCCGGACTCAGCCTCGGGATGGGAGAACAGATTATCCCCACTGACTAGTTATTATGCCGGTGAAGCTTATTATCGAGTGTGACTGGTCGGGGTCTAAGCCCGGCCTCTCCCAGGCTGGCGGTGTTGTCCTGGGGGGGGGGGGGATGGGGATGACGAATTAGGGAGTGCATGATGATTTTTTTGGGCCGTGCAGAAGTGCGTCGGATGTGGGTAGTACATCCCCTATGCAGGTAGGAGGTTGGCACATCATTCGCATCACCGTGAAGTGCAACATACAAAATCAGTAAACAGTCAACGCGGGACGGAAACCCCGGGACTTACCCTAAAACAGTAGGAACCCCAAGTTGCAGGCGTCTCCACTGTGATGGAGGGAATAGGCCATTCAGGAGAGGCAATCAGAGAAAACCAGCAGAATGGACAGCCCCTGTTGGTGAGATGTTGGGAGGGGATCCACTTCGTATCGCTGCAGAATGGTGGATCCCCGGCTGAGTCTGAGGGTGTGAGAGAGACACAGACTGACTTCGGAATTGCGAACACCCCGGCTATCTTAGTCTGGATTGGGAATAGTAATTGGGCCCGCCCAAGTATGAAGTAACTTTCAGCTTGGACGGCCGCACGTCAAAGCAGCAAAACTCTAATATCCCTTTCAAAGACTCTAGCGACTAGCGAGAGTCTATAGGCGAGAGGTACCACTGTATGCTGTATGACAGCCAAGGGCCAGTGGAGGGCAAAATTCCCGGGCCCGCACCGTCGCGGGAAAGGCCCAAAGTTGGCACAAAACCGGATTCCCGTCATGGTGCCTTGGAGTACCTTTGGATGCCTTGCCCACAGTGACCTCGACCTTGAGTTTTTAAGGTTCATCCTCGTTATTGAATAGACTCAACGTAGATTTGTCATGGCGATGCGTGAATCATGCACAAAGTACTTGACTTGAGGGCTTACAGCAGCCGGGCGGCCGATCCGCCCCATCATCCCCTTCAGCCTGGCCAACCACCAACCTTGGATTCTTGCTCCTCGCGTTGCAGAAAAGGCAGCGACTGTCTATCAGCGGAGTCCATTCTTCAGTTGTGCTCGAATCATTGCCGCTGCCGTCCGTCCAGCCCTGGATGGTTACCAATTGACGCTCCAACTAGAGGGCATAGTTCGCACGGGCCCGGTCCACTAAAGGGGGCCTGTCAAACTCCACTGCAGAATCCGTGACCGGGATTTCTGGCGCGGACCCAAGCCCTCGGGACAACTATGTTGACTGTCTGTCTGTCTGTCTGTCGGTCCCCCTGCTACCCACAAACGACTATCTAGATATATCTGCACGTCCCGCCAGGATCCTTGCCGTTCGCGGATCTCCTCTTTCCTCATGTATCTCTTTTGGCATCATGGGCTTGATCCAAGGCCTGGTGGCCGGCCTCTCATCGGTCGCTGACTCTCCTATTGCCTTGTGTGCTGTCTTGACGGCCACCTTGATTGTCTATTCCGTCGGATTGGGAATCTATCGACTCACCTTTCATCCCTTGGCCAATTTTCCTGGTCCCAAGCTGGCTGCTTTGACATACTGGTATGAAACCTACTATGAGGTTTTCAAGTTGCCTGGGGGGCAGTTCTTGTTTCAGTACCACAAACTGCACGACAAGTATGGTAAGTCACGAAACTATGGGCAATGCCTTGGCAAACAGAGTTGGCAAGCTGACAGGGTTACCACATTTTGTAGGACCCATCATTCGCATCAGCCCGAATGAGATTCACATCAGGGATTCATCGTTCTTCGAGGAGATGTTCTCCAACTCCCTCCCGTGGAACAAGCCAGAACATCTCCAGTATCGCTTCGACAATGCCAAGGGTACCTTCTCCACCCCAAAACATGAGGCTCATAAGCCCAGACGTGCTGCGCTCAACCCGTTCTTCTCCAAGCGGGCCATTACAAATGCTACCCCCATGATGCAGGATAAGCTGTACAAGCTCTGCGACCGGCTTCGCCGTGAATACCAAGGCACTGGCAAGATTTTGCGTCTTGATTGGATGTGGGGATGTATTGCGTCTGATATCATTGTTCATTACTGCTTCAACGACGGTTATGGCTTCATCAATGCACCGGACTTTCGATCGGTCTTTATTCAAGCCATGTTTGATCTACTCGACATGGTGCATGTTCTGGTCCAGTTTCCTTGGGTGGGAGTTATTATGAATGCACTTCCTCAGAAGTTTGTGGAGACAATGAATCCTGGCCTGAAGTCCATCAACCATTACAATAGAGTAAGTCCCTATACATATCCAGTATAACCCAGGGCCGCTACTAACTGTCACAGGAAATGGCATCCCAGATCACGGATATCCTCCGAAGCAAAGAATACGGGACGATGAAAGAATCTCAACGCAAAACCGTCTTCAACGCTCTGCTAGAAGGCGGCTTACCACCTGAAGAGCTGACCCTGCGACGACTCCGCGAGGAAGCCTTTACCGTCATTGGAGCCGGCTTCGAAACCACGCGATATGCTCTGGCCGTCGCCAGCTACCACATTCTCAGCACTCCGTCGATATACAAGCGTCTGCGCGAAGAGTTGATAACAGCGATCCCCGATCCAACCAACTTTCCTCCGCTGAGCGAGCTAGAAAAGCTCCCCTACCTGACGGGATGTATCCAAGAATGTGCGCATCTCCTCCCTTCTGACTTACTACATACTAGTACCACAACTAATCACAACACCTATGAACAGGCATCCGCATGTCCTACGGCATCGTGCAACGCTCACCCCGTGTCAGCGACAAATTCCCCCTCATCTACAAAACCTGGACCATCCCCGCAGGCACCATCATCAGCATGGACAATTACTCAGTCTCGCACGACGAAGCGATCTTCCCCGACTCATACACTTTCAAACCCGAGCGCTGGCTCGACGACCCTGTCGCGCCAGACGGGCGGAAATTGACACGATACCTCGTCTCGTTCGGTCGCGGGACCCGCTCGTGTCTTGGTATCAACCTCGCCTACGCGGAAATGTACATTTCGCTGGCGAATGTGTATCGGAACTTTGAGTTTGAGCTGTTCGAGACGGGACGTGAATCGGTCGATGTCTATCGGGATATGTTTCTTCCGCATCCGAAGCCGGGGACTCAGGGGGTGAGGGTGAAGGTGTTATAGGGTGATTGTATAGGAGTAGTGATGCAGTGATGGCAGGGGTATAAATATTTTGCAATATATCTTATCAAGTGCATGCGTTCAGCAGTTTCTCCCTACTACTACTAATTGAACTCTTCGGAGCACTTTAGTAGTTCATTGTACAAGTCGCATGCAGGACGAAGAGATCCGAATATGTCTAGCGCGCACACATCACTGGATATCCAGCATGAGACCATACCAATATAGGGCGAAGAAACATGTCATGCAACCGCGTACTTAGCCTCTATCCATCACCCATACTCTAACCTATGATCCCAAACTTCATCAACAGCACCGACCATATACAATTGCAACCCACTAAACTGAACAGCCACGTCTTCCTACATACCCTGCCCAACTTCCCTGATAAACCTATAAATCGAAGTACCTGTACTGTATATCCCCGAGAACAGCCGAACGCAACTTAATCCACCACACCGATCAGATTACATCATGTCCCAACCTGCATATTGCGGAACGCCACAGTCAATATATATCCTTGTTTGCTTTTTCGAGAGCGGGATATAGCGCCGAACCTTACGTCCGCCCAGGCTTTGATTAAGTTCTTTCTGGGTTCTCTTTGTCCGATTTTGTGCTGTGCAGGTGGGTCATTATTACTTACTTAATTTATGGGAATATTCGGGTGTATCTTCGCGGGAAATAGAAGTCGTTGGGAGGGACTTATGTACTGTTATGGGAGAGGGGGTATGGGTTTGTAGGGATCCATGCTGTGTACTTCCTTCGGTAGTAGTGATAGGTGGGTTGTTTTCTTACAGATATAGTATAATGGTGATATACATGCATCGCTTCCGGTGGCCCGACGTGTGATGTGGTGACGAACATGATTCCTCTACAGTATAGCTTACGTGTGGTCTGAGAAAAGCAATTTGCACATCATAATGTAACTATGCATAACTTGAAAGGGTGGGGTGATGGATTCCATGCAATGATTATGTTTATTTTTTAGCGTATGGTACTGATTATATATCCACACATGATTGATTGATTGGGCTCATTGAATCCAACGAACCCGTGAGTCTGTACAGTGTCTAGGAGGATTGTTTCTTCGACAGATGTAACAGTGAACAATAAACTCCTATACTATACATTCTATCAACATACCCACCTATCAAACACCATGCCACCAACATAGAAGCATAAATATACCACAATGAAATGGCCCAACAGCTCGAATATCAACACATTTACCTCCCCTCCCATACTCCAGACCTCAACACCAACATCATCCCATCCCATCCCACCACACTATCAAAACTCTATAGCTCCTCCGGCGGCCTCGTAATCCCCGTCAACTTATCCCTAAACCAAACCAAACCATTAGCCCGATTCCTCTCAACCCCAAACCCCAAAGCACAAACAAAAGAAAATAATAAGATAACATACCCATTAACCTTCTTCATCAGCGCCCCGAATCCCTGATGATCATAATCCTTCTCACTCCACATATCCTTATGATAAACGACCCTCTCCCCATCCTCCCCACCCTGCAACCTCAAACTCACCAAACTATCCTCCGTCCGGGACGCTCCAATCCCGCGAAACGTATACTTCTGTCTCTGCTTCCAGACCATCTCATCGTCCGTATTCGACACCACCTCCGTCCCCAGATTCTCGCTCTTGCTGAAGAGCTTCGGAATGCCGTACCATTGACCAGCGATTTTGTACCTGAGTACCAGATCCCATAGTTGTCAGTATAGGGTTTTATGGGGATTTGTGATGGGGGGGGGGGCTACTACCGCGTATCACAGTAACTGAATGGATCGTCGTAGACGGCTTGCTCTGCGTAGACACTCATGTCTTCGGCGGACGCACTGCCGCAGTATAGGGCTATGATGTGGTCTTGGATGGATTGGCGGGATGGGGGCAGGGGCACGGAGTTCTCTGGGTGGGGGGTGTAGTCGACTTCGTGGGCGGTGTTGTGGGGGAGGTCGGGGTGCGGTTCGATGCCGCGTTGGTCGGGGTGAGGGGCCGTGGTGGGGGGCATTTTGGGCCTTGATTTTGTGTAGTAGGTAATAATGTGGAATTTGGATAAGTATGTGTATAGGTGATGTGGACGATGGGGATAGTGTGGTTGTGTGGAATTGCGATGGAGGTTATACAAGGAGACAATAGTAGGGTTGGATGTGACGTCATGAAGGTGTCAGGGAGATGTTGAAAGTCAATTCGATATTAAGTTTGGCACGTCCAGTCACTTTAAACCATTGCTTGAAATTCATCAACTCAGTCTATATAATTACTAATTAAGTAGGCTGGGTTGGTCGACGCCTGCGCGCTCAACACCCGTAGCCCGAACAAAATATCAGATAGCCACCCGTTGGTATCAACACGGAAGCAACAGTCATAACCCGAAACATTCTGAAGAACTGAAATGTAAATCGATGGGCATGTCACGCAGAACTCTCCTGTGCCATCATACGGGCTGCCACACTCCCCGACGCTCGAGGGTACGGGTACGTAATAATTTCTTCCTTCCCATACAACCCTTCACCGAACACTCGCCCCCAACCCCCTCCTCCAGGGGTATGAATGACAGCGCGATCACCTGCCTCCATTTTCACCATGTTCTTCGCTCCCATATTTATCCATCGCCACTCCTCCCCTTCTACCCCATTCATCTTTCTAACCCAGTAATTTGCTCCACACTGTCCCGGTTCACCTCCGTTCATTCCATAAGGCGCAACAGTGCGGCGCTCAGTGATGAGACTGAAGCTTAGCGGAACACGGCACTCAATGTCTCGCACCACACCGTCTCCGCCCCTGTTCACCCCCTTTCCTCCCGAGTTTGGGCGGATAGCAAACTCTCGCAGGATGACCGGATAGCGCTTTTCCAGGCTCTCCGGATCGGTGATCCTCGTGTTGGTCATATGCGTATGTACACCGGATGCCCCCGGCCGGAAGGATGTTGCTCCAGAGCCACCGCCGATTGTCTCTCCGAACGCGTAAGCGTATCCATTTAGCTTCTTACCCTCGGCATCCTTGCCGCCCTCGCCAAAAAAGCCAATACAGTTCATGCAGCCGTGAGAGGCGGCACCGGCTCGAAATGCCTTGAGGATGACATCCACGAGTCGCTGCGATGTCTGAGTATTCCCAGCGCAAACAGCGGGGCCTGCGGATGGATTTAGGAATGTGCCCTTTGGTAGGACGACATCGATCGGTGTGAGGCAGCCCTGGTTCAATGGGATGTCAGTGCCGATGAGAACACGTAGGCTGTATATAATGGCAGAGTAGGTGATTGCTGGGGGCGCGTTGATATTACTGAGCAGCTCACAATCAGTCCCAGTAAAATCAAACACAGCAGACCCATCCCGGCAAATTATGACTGTGAGCTTGATCACTGAACCGTTATCCATTTGGTCTTCAGCAACGAGGTGGGTGCCCTTCGTAATAATAGCGGCGCGAAGAAAGTCCCGCACCGCCCATTCAGCGTTCGATTGGATGCCTTTCATGTACATCTGCACCACTGGTAGGGTGTATTCCTTGATAAGATCCTGCACCAAGATCATGCCCTTGTGGTTTGCCGCAACCTGCGCTTTGAGGTCGGAGATGTTGTCCGACACATGTCGGCTCCCTGTGCAACCCGGGTATTGACCCGGTCGAAGAAGGATTTCGGTGATACCGGATTCATCGAATTTTCCAGCATGAATAAGCTTAAAAGACCTGATCGCAGCACCCTCCTGCCACAGCTCTGTGGAGTTCGGTGGCATGGACGTTCCCCCAAGGCCACCAATATCAGTGTGGTGGCCGCGGGAAGCTACGTAAAATGCGATCTGCTTCCCCGTCTTCTCAAAAACCGGAGTTATCACCGTGATGTCTGGCAGATGCGTACCACCTGCCTCAGGATGATTGGACACCAGTACATCCCCCGGGGCAAGCTTTCCTTCGTGGAGCTCGTGCTGGTACTTGACCGCGTAGCTCATGGAACCAAGATGTACTGGGACATGAGGTGCATTGGCAACCAGTCCTCCTATGTCATATTAGTCCAAACTATGTTATTCATAATCTGTCAACATACCATCTGGGCCAAATAGTGCGCATGAGAAATCCAGCCGCTCCTTGATGTTGAGTGACACGGCCGTCTTCTGTAGAGCTCGACCCATCTGCTCGGCAATACTCATGAAGCGATGTGCGAATAGCGAAAGCTGAACTCTGTGCATTGAGACAGGACTTCGTATAATCTGGCTGGATGAGTCGTTGATATGGATAACCACGTGGTTACTCAACACTTTGGCTTCTGCCCCAGGCGTGATTACCAAGGTCTGTGTCTGGTCGATAATAATAGCTGGTCCGGTGATGAGAGTTAGCGGCTCCAGCTTAGGCAGTAGAAAGACCGGAGCGGAAATCTTTCCAGTTCCTGGAAAGTAGATTTTGGTCTGTGACCATTAGCATTGGCACGATCGGACAACAAACGCCGGGCCTCGTACCGTTCGCTCCACAAACTCCGGCCGTGCAACATTGAAAGAGGCGTACTTGAGCTTTTGCCCCAGTCTCTTTCCATCTGATTTCTCAAGCCCGCCGCAAGACCCAACGCCTCGGACGCGCACGTCATCCACAATGATAGGCCTTTCGTCAGGAGACAAAAAGGCGAATTCCCGCAGATGCATTCTTTTGAATTCCTGCTTAAAATCGCCATCTGCTGGCTGCAGAACCATTATCGCTGTCTCCGTTCCCTGATATCTCATGTTGAGATACCGCTGGTAGGATATGTCGCCATCTGAGATACCCTGGCCGTTTAGCTGGCGGCGAACCTTATCTCGCAGCAGTGATAGCCGACCGAGAAGCCTGGTACGGGATTCATCTCCATAAACTTCATTAACTGGTTCTTGAGCTTCTTGCACAAAGTCCGCGAGCGCCATTCCTGTTTTACTGGGTCAGTTCGTGTCCACATCCGGGAGATTTTGCTACATACCGTATGCGGAAAGGATGCTTGAATATTTGTGAATGACGACGGTGGATATACCGAGTTTGCGTGCGACGTCGCAAGCATGCTGCCCTCCAGCACCCCCAAAAACACTCAAATGATGGTTTGCTGGGACAAAGTCAATGACAGTATACAGATTTACAAGTCATGCACTTACCGATGTCATATCCCTTTCCTTCAGTCAAAGCCCGGATTGGCCGGCACATTGATTCGTTAGCAACGTCAAGAAACCCCCAGGCTACCTCTTCCGGGCTCATTTTATTTCCCGTGTCGGAGTAAATCGTCGCCGTCAAATTGTCAAACATTCGCTGTACTGTGTCCGAATCCAGAGCCTCGTTTTCGTTTTCGCCAAATATTTTCGGGAAATAATCCGGAAGTAACCTCCCGAGGAAGAGATTCGCATCAGTCACTGTAAGAGGCCCGCGTTTTCGATAGCATGCAGGTCCAGGGTGTGACGATGCACTCTCCGGGCCAACTGCGAAAAGACGCTTTTTCCAGGCCAACATCGAGCCGCCGCCCGCGGCGACCGTGTTTATATCTAGTTGAGGACTCTGTATCGCCACGCCAGCAGTGGTGGTCTCAAATATATGCTCAAATTGCCCTCCGTATCGTGACACATCCGTTGACGTCCCGCCCATGTCGAAACCCACCACCGGAATTTTGGAGATCTCGTCGTAAGTGGTCTGAGCGTATCCAACAACACCCCCTATAGAATTAGCATCATTGAAGAATAGAGATAAGGGTATTTCTTACCTGCAGGACCGCTCAAGAGGCCTCTTATCCCGCTGAATTGGTGGTGGCTAACGAGTCCTCCGTCGGACTGCATGAACTCGCACCTCACACCGTCAAGATTTCCACCCTCGAAACCCTTCATGAACCCGGCTAAATACCTTCTTATTTCAGGGGTGACATATGCATCTGCTGATGCTGAACTGCCTCGTGGTACCATCTTGATCATGTTGGCTGCCACGGCAGAGGATAATGATACATGGTTAAAGCCCTCCTCTATGGCCAACTGATGAACTCTGACCTCGTGGTCTGGAAATATATGGGAGTGGGTGAAGCAGACGGCAAGTGTGTCGAAGCCCTTACCACGGAGATCCCTGAGTACATGACGGACTTGTTCTTCGTCTATTGGCTTCAAGATACGCACCATATCACCGCTTGTACCGCGGACCAGGACACCAGGTATTTCTTCGGTGGCATTGAAGAGCCCATCGACGTCTTCATCGAATCCTTCAATCGTTACTCTAGCATCAATTTCATGGACCTCGTCGTACAAAACAGCCGGCTTGACAATGTCGAGGTCGAAGAGTCGAGGTCGCGACTGATATCCGATGTTGAGCAAGTCGCGGAATCCCTTGGTAACGAGAAATGCATGCCGTGTGCCTTTCCGCTCCAGCAAGGCATTTGTTGCAACCGTTGTTCCCATACGAATGAACTCTAGATCTGCCTTTGGGAGTGGATGGCTGCGAGGGATCTCCTTGCCGTAGTATGTAGATAGTACGCGACGTATACCTGACATGGTTAGCTTCTATCTAATGGTATCGTGCCAAAACGCAATACCTTCTGTGGGTGCATCATCATAATTGGCGGGATCAACCGAAAGGAGCTTGAAGACAACGTCCGACCGTCCAGGCAGGCCGGCCCAGACGTCAGTAAAAGTGCCTCCTCGGTCTAAGGAGAAGCCAAGCCAAATTAGCAAAACCTTTCGTGGAGCTATGGAAACAAGGGACTCGCACCGATTGCAATTTTCACCTTTCCCACGCTTGTATTCATAGTGGAAAATGTGGTCGATCTGCTACGTAAATTCTTTTCCGGCACTGTAGGCTACTGTCTTTTATAGCCTGGCTTCACAGATCGGACAGAACACCGCTGCACTTCCTGGACAGGCCATCCTGGGAGCGAGGAAGGTCCAAACGAGTTTTCAACGGATCCATCCGCCGACAATCCATGATTCTCGGCCCAAACCCCGTCATTGTCAGCAGTTTGTGTGTGAATGACTCGACGCGAGTTCATGGCAGGAGGAGATTGTCACTTCCAGCTGCAATATCGGTACCGCATTGGGCTTAGAGAGAGGGGAAGGAACCAGGGCCTCAGGCGCCGGTGCCCTCTAAGGCAGCATCCCTGGTCGACCGATGATTTTCCATCAATAATCTGATAACCTGCCGCCCAGCAGCTCCACTGTCGGGCATTGGAAATTAACACCCCCTCATCAAGAAGATGCGATTGCCAGTGCTTCAACTTGACTGGCTTATGCATCGGACATGGCCGCGTTGGGGGGACCAATGAGTGTGTCAGATTAGGGTGACACTGATTAGACCCCTGCAAGCGCTTCCTACCCGAGAGTTGCCTTCCAGCGCCCGGTGCAGTGGTCTTCGCAGACAATCTCGGACGAGGGTGATACAACCAGCATAGCGGGGAATGATAGTCGAATATATATCTCTCACCCATAATGGTCTCCACCGCGCACAAATCGGGGACATTGAGTCGTTAGGATGGCACGTGAGCCCATCCCGTGATCCACCGACCCTAATAGATGGCCCTGGGAGAGACGAACACGCCAGTAGAGATGTCGCCATTATCATCAGGAAAGATGGAGCTGGAAAAGCAAGTGGATGGAGCTGCTGCCTATCTTGCTCATAGCACAACTCATCCTCCCATGACGTTGGAAATGGAAAGGAAATTGTTGCGCAAAATCGACTGCATCCTGGTACCCATGGTAGGCTGCTCACCGGACAATAAGCATCAGAATTTACTGATAAATGCTAGCTTCTGCTCACCGCTACTCTCGGGGCAGTGGATAAGGTTGCTCTCAGCACCGCAGCAATCTACGGACTGGAAAAGGGTATTGATGCTCATCCGTATCGCAAATCGTCCTGACATGTATCCAGATCTTCACCTCGTTGGTCAACAATACTCCTGGGCTGGATCAATCCTATCTATAGGTGTACGTGTTTGTAGATTTTGTCCATGACCCAAAGCTGACACCGAATAAGGCAATCATCGGGATGTGCCCTTCCTCCTTCCTCGTACAGCGACTGCCATCCGCAAAGTATCTCTCTTCGTGCTCCCTAGGCTGGTCGTGCTTAGCTCTGCTGATACCCGCATCGAGAAACTGGAATGGACTGATGGCGTTGAGGTTTTTCATGGGTATGTTCTGTTTTGGCCCGTTAAGATACACCCACTAGCAACCCCAGTAAGGATGGCATCGAATTGATATCCTTCACTAGGCTACCTAGAAGCAATTATTGTCCCTACAATCAGCCTCATAGTCGCCGGATTCTATAAAAAGACGGAACAACCTCCACGAAATGCAATCGTGTTCGCGGCTTTTAGCTCCGTGATCAACGGCTTCTTATCTTGGGCTGTAGGGCATATTCCCGATTCTGCACCTCTTGCTATCTGGCAATATCTGTACCTGATTGTCGGTAAGTGAACCATGTATCGCAGTGATGCAGTTTGCTAATTACTCAGGCTCTCTTTCCGCAGTGTGGTCCATAACAGCGTTCGTGATCCTACCGGAATCCCCGATGACTGCCTTCTTCTTCACCGATAGGGAACGATTCTATGCAACCCAGCGTCTAGCGGAAAATCAGACCGGCATCATAAATAAAGAATGGAAAAGGGAACAGGCTCTTGAAGCGGTTTTGGATGTAAAAACGTGGATCCTGTTTTCCTTCAACATTGCTATTAACATTCCTAATGGAGGTAAACTGTCTTCTCGTTTGTAGCTCTACTATCGCTTACGATACAGGCCTGACTACATTTAGTGGTATCCTCATCAACAATCTTGGCTTCACTGCGGTTAAGGCCTCCCTTCTGAACATGCCGACCGGAGTAATGTCCACTGTATCTGCATTTTTCTTCTCCTGGCTAGCTGCACGCTGGTCAAATCGAAGGTGCCTCGTTACTATGATGGCATGCTGTTTGCCCATTGTCGGCTCAGCCTTGGTGTACTCTCTCCCACGAACAAATGTAGCAGGGCAAATAGTCGGAATTTACCTTGTAAGTCCTTCCAGCCGTTAATTAGTATTTATGCTCACAGAGCTATAGCTTTACACTTATTTTGGACCGTACGTAGTCGGTAAGTGCTACGTGTCATGCGAATTATTGCCTATCTAGCAAGCTGACAAGCAAGGAATCTCCATGGCGCAAGCTAATACAGCTGGACACACGAAGAAAACTGTGCAGTATTCTATTCTGTACATTGGATATGCACTTGGTGAGTCTAAGCTAGATACCCTCTATTCATTACATTGCGTGATCTTTGCAGTTGTTACAGGTACTGATGTGACTGCAAGGGAATCTCATCGGGCCCCAAACCTTCCGTGCCAGTCAAGCGCCCGCCTATACCGGCGGGTTTATCGCCATGTTAATATGCTACTGCATATGCGTCGGGCTGATGGGGCTTTACTGGGTGTTGGTCTTGAGATACAACCGGCGACTTGCCAACATTGACCCAGATTCACAGATTGCAAATGAAGATTTGACAGAAGCTTTTGCCGATCGAACAGACTTTCAACAAGCGAATTTTAGATATACTACATGATAGAATTTGGTCTCTATTAGCCTATCATGACGTTTGGCTATCCACGCTTCCTTAAGAGGGGCCAGTAAAAAGTAGGAATTTCCATGTCTCAATTTTAGGGAACGTAATCTGGTATCCTATTGGGTCAAACTGCCACGCAATCTACTCGATGTGCTATCTGTAGGGCCGAATTCTCACTTCCGTAACATTCCGGATAGGTAGAATGGGTGACAGGGATGTGCTGTGGCCGCGTCGCTCTAAGGGCTGCAGCTAGTCATAGCTTGGTGCTGTTAATATAAGCGCCGGCTCATTCCCCGCTCTTCCGGCGGGCTGCCTCCTTCCGTCCAATTCCCCCGAACAGACGCAAGCCAGGACGGCCGGGACAGACTTCCACCTGTAACCACCCCTCATTCCGTTGTACCTACCACATACATGCATGGCTTCTGCTCCGAACATGTCGGCTGAAACTCATCGTCGCTCTGGCTGCTTTCAGTGTAAAGGTACGGACCTGGACTGAAGAATTATCGATTCGGGCATATTGACGCCGGATGAAGCCCTTAGCCTGCGCTGCATTGGGGATGTGCCTCGCTGCACTCGATGTAGGACACTGGATCTGACGTGTGAGGAATTTTCCTTCGTGGAGGAACCAGTGGAACAAGGAGTTAGTTTAGGCCGTAGAGGTGGGTTTCGCCAGATCGCCATTGTTGGTATTACCATGGGTATGGCTCATGAATGTCTATAGGAACGTGTTCTAAGCAGCAAAGAAGTATCCTCAGCCTAAGCAACTCTAAGCCTACCAATCGAAATATGATATCGCTAGATGCGTACAGTGGGCGGTGGGTATTCCTCAATCTCACCATGAAGAATTACCTCGAGGACACGGGTGAGGTAGACTATGATTCCGACGAAGACACAGCCATGAAGGATGTACCTGGCGAAGCAGACGATGCCCTTCAACTACGCTCCATTCTGAACCATCCGCTGTCGGAATACTCCCACTCTGAAAGCTATCTTCTCCAGTACTTTATTCAGAGCATTGGGCCGGATTGTTCTCTCAGCAGCAATGACAACCCATACATCAACTTGCTCACACCACTTGCCTTTTGCCATCCCACTCTCCGGAATGCTATGGTGTCTGTGGCAGCTAATCAGCTCCGTTTGCTTGGTGATGCACGATATACCAATGAGGCGGCATTATACAAGGATAGAGCGATACAGGGATTGCAGCAGGCAGTCGAGCTTCGAAATATAGATGATGGCATAATAGGCACTATTTTGATGCTATGCTTCTATGACGTACGTGGTATGGCGAACATCAGCTTTGATAAATGCTGACATGGCTAGGTATAGATTTCGGATAAGTGCGATTCATCCTGGGTGAAACACCTCGAAGCAGGTCTGGACCTTCTTAACTGCTTGCCTTTGACTGCCTCGTCAAGCCAGGGATTGCGCAAGTTCTTCCAAATGTATTTCGTCGCCCACGATATCATGCGTCGGACGGCAACGCCAGGAATGATCAACGAAAATGGGCGATATGGTTGGTCAGAATACGACAATCTTGACGAGGTTTGCATCCCATTGACTTCTTTCCTTCCCGGTCTCACCTTAACTTTAGATCGATACAATAATGGGTTGTTCACGACGACTCATGGGCATCATCAATGATATTTCTGATCTACCCTCTGACGGCAATACGGTAAATGTACACCTACTCGGTCTTCAACTCAGCCTGTCGACACACCGCTAATACGTCACAGATTATGAGAAACACCGGACCAGCCGATACCTACATATTGAGAGCACATCGCCTTAGTTGCGACCTCATTAACCTCACCCAGATCCTCCCAGCCCACCTCCAACACAGAGAAGATATAGCTCGGATCGCGGAAACGAAGCGTCTAGCAGCATTCCTGTACCTGATCGAGCGGGTGAGCTCCACTACCTATCGCAGGCAATTTATCCCAAGAACGGATAAACGGACTCTAGTGAACAAAATGATAGATCTCATTTCGAGTCTTCCTGATTCTGCGACCTTACTATGGCCGTTATACGTTCTCGGACAGACCGCACTGGATGATCAGGATCATCGTCGGTTCGTTATGGATCGACTAGAGCGGATAGAACGGACACGGAACCTAGGGAGTGTGCGACGAGCGAGGACAGCGATGAAAGATACGTTTCGGATTATGGACATGCGATACTCGGTTCAGAGGAGGGATGGGAGGTTTGGTAATATTAGTCTGGCTTGACCGTTCTATGAGGTGATATAAGAGGCTATATGAACCTCTCATGCATGCTGACCTCATCCTTCCACATCCACATGTACTACATAGCTTTACCTATCATAAGCCCAATCAAGTGACATACACAACCTTCAACACCCAACAAAACTCCTCCCCATCCCACGCCCCCTCAGGCACCATGAACGTAAACCCCTCCGCCGCACTGCCCTCCCACTCAACCTCCCTCTCCCCATCCCCATCACCACGCACCACCACAACCCTATCCCCCTCCAACAACGGCACCGGCACATCCAAATACACCTTGTTTCCAGGCTCCCCAAGAAACAACAAATAAAACGCTTCATTCGTCTGCGTAAACCTCACCTCCACCTGCGCCCCATCACCACTCCCAGCCCTCACACCCACCCCCTCACTCCTCACCCACCAAACCCTCGTCCCAAACACCGCCTCCCCATGCCCCCTAATCCACTCCCCAGCCCTCCTCAACTCCCTCTCCTCCCTCTCAACAATACTCCCATCCGCACGCGGCCCAACATCCAACAAAAAATTCCCATTCTTACTCACCATATCCACCAAATCCCTGACCACCGTACTCGCATTCATATATTCCTGCCACCCAGTCGCCCGATTAAACCCATAACTATACGGATCCATGCCCATATTACTCTCCCACTTGCGCAACTGCGCCGAACTAAACGTCGCATACTCGGGCGTATCGAAGTCCGAGACCTCCGCGACCCCGCATCGCGAATTAATCGTCACTTGCCGGTTATCTGCACGCGCGGAATTGAACCAATCGCTGGCGAATGACGCGGTCCCGTTCGCGGCTCCGCAGTCACACCACATTATGTCGGTGCTGTAGTTGTGTGCGAGGATGCTCATTTGGGGCACCATTACGTCCGTGATGAAGTCGCTGACGGGGATGCGGCCCGTGTAGGGCTCGTTGAGCCCCGTGTAGGGGTTCCGGGCGATGATGCCCGGCCAGCTCGTTGAGGTGTTGCCGGGTAGTTCGGCGAACCCGTAGGGCCCGAAGTCTGGGTTGAACCATTCCGGGAGGGAGAAGTAGGTGCCGCGTTTTAGGGAGGGGTGGTACAGGGAGGATGCGGTGAAGAGTTCGGAGACGAGGTCGCGGCGGGGGCCGTAGTGTAGGGAGGAGCGGTTTGTGGTGTTTTGGGTGTCGAAGAGGGCGAAGCCGTCGTGGTGCTTTGTGGTCAAAACGAAGTATTTGGCGCCGGAGGCAGCGATTAGGTCGACCCAGGCTTTGGGGGAGAAGTTGGAGGCTGTGAAGGAGGGGAATGAGTCGTCGTAGTTCCAGTCAGGGCCGAAGGTGCGGAGTCGGTAGTCGTAGGTGTCGGATTTGTCGGCGGCGCGGTGCGTGGTGTACCACCTGATTGTTGGCCAAGTTAGATGAGTGTAGAAACAGGGATTGGGGTGTGGGGTGGGGAGGATAGTACCAGAACCACTCGGCGTAGCTTTCATAGGGTGTCGAATTGCCCCAGCCGGGGACGGAATAGGGGCCCCAGTGGATCATGATGCCGAATTTGGCGTCGTCGAACCATTCCGGGCTTTCGTGTTGCGAGAGGCTGGACAGCTCGGAGGTCCACTCTGTTAGGCCGAGGGAGATGATGTGGGGGTAGGTTTGATGCTGGATGGAGTGGGTGTAGTTCAGGACGACGGTTGCTGTTCCGTTGGCTGTGCCGTTAATGCCGATGTTGACGCGTTTTTGGTCGCCGGGGCAGAGTCGCTTGATGTTTCCGGGTTCCAGTGTTTGGACTCCAGGCATAAATAATGATATGTTGACTCCTGGGCCTGCGATGCAGCTGGTGCCTGGGTTGTTGATGGTCACTTCGACTATCTGGTTGCCGCTTTCTGTCCACTTTTGGGTCGGACGCACGAATTGTACTTGAGCTGATGGGGCTGTGGATTCCCATAGGGATATGGAAAATATGTGCAGCCTGCCTGTAGTTGTGTTGGTAGTGACTGGCAGTGTGATTGAATGTAGAGACTTGTTGGAATTCAGTGCTGCAGTGTATTCGAAGATGTGGGAGGTGTTGAAGTTGGTGTCGTTGTGGGTATACCGGTAGGGGAAGATGATCTCGCCACGGTTGATTGTCAGGAATGCCCACCAAGGTAGACTGCGCAGTTCTGATACGAGAGTAGTATTGTCTGAATAGGTGTATGTCACATTTCCGGAGACGGTGGACAGTTGGACGTCGGACGTCACCAGCATGGACGCTGAGAAGTACTGTTCGTGAGGCACGATGATTGTTTGGCCTTCACAGACGACATTGTCAGGGAGGGTGGGCCCGCGATAGCCTGGGAAACCGTAGACCACGCCAGTGTGGGTGGATGTGTAGGTTCTATTGATGCCAATAATGCTAGGGTCTGGATAGGACTGATTCAATGCATCAAACGACGTCTGGCCGGGATATACGCCAAATGCCTTGTTGTTGAAGTATGAATCGAGGGAGACAAATTTCGACTGTACCGTCAGTCTAAGTTCACTTAGAATGAGAAACACTAACCGGCGTTACTGCTTCTGCAGTGACAGCTAGCTGCCATACGAGAGCTATCTGGTTGACGACCTTCATGATGCAAACAGTCCCCTGTACGGACGTAAAGTCTACACCCTGCCGACGAAGCGGGGAAGCGGTGCAGAAGTAGTCATGCCAACTTCATGTCTCCCCACCGGAAAATGGCACAGTGACATCCTGCCTGCACGTTGAAGCAAATCCAGCAAGTGGCCGACTGTCATTGGAACACGCCGATCATGTAGATTAAACGGCCGGCGTGCGGGGAGATATCAATTGCGGCAAAGATACGCGGAGATAAGTGCCAATCTTCTCATATCCTGGTCGGCCCAGGCGGGCACTAAACCATGGCAGCGCCACTGTTACATCGGCTGATGTCCGAGTGGAGGTCTGCAATATGCCAACTGATAAGAAGCAACGACTCCCAGGATGTTCCTGCATGATGCACCGACGCAATGTGGACGACCTTGTTTACCGTGGCAGCCGGGCTAGCCAGTCTGCCATTGATTCATGCCTTTAACAATCCCTCAGGTGTAGACATCTGGTGCGGTAAGGCCTATCGAGCGAGGTATGCCATAGCGAACAATTAATATAGCACAACTAACTTGGATAGCAATGCTTCCTTCAACCCTGGTGGGTGGTTCGAGCAGCCCTCATACTCCTCCACTCCCCTGCTCGACCTCAAAGTCCGGCCGCGAATGAGCATCTATCTCGAGACAGATGCATCAGGTAGTCTTCTCGTTAACACGACCGTCTCTCACCTTGTCGGTGATCCTCTACCTGTGAAGCCCAGCACAAACTACACAGACCAACACCTCCATCTTGACATCCGCATTCTCACCGACGAGGCCCCAATTGCATCTATCACCAACTATACCCTCCCACTCGACGCCACCAAAGCCGAAATCCCCCTCTACTTCGACTTCCTCACCCCAAAACTAACCCCCTACACCATCACCACCACCGCCACCTTCATCAACGGCATCGCCAACACCACCTTCACCACCACCTCCGAACTCTTCTACCTCCCCCAACGCACCGACGGCGGCAGCGCCACCCGCATCGACCATCGCACGGGCATGCTCTCCTACATCCAGGACCAATCCATAAGCTGGACCCCAATCTTCCCCTACACCTACTACGGTATCCCCCCTTCCATCCCCAACACACTTCCTTACACCCAATCTAACCCCAAACCAGCCCAATGGTCCCTCTACTGGGACACCAACACCAGCACCCTAGAAGCCTTCACCTCCCAAGGCTACAACGTAATCCACATCGTCCCCACAGGCACCCTCAGCGACACGCCCTTCCCCTGGACCACCTTCGACCCCTACCTCACCACCTCCGACAAGCAAAACCTCCACCTCCAATACGACGTCCTCTTCGACCCTACCAACCTGACCAAACTCACCGACCAAGTCACACACATCCACACCCACCCCTCCCTCCTACTCTACTACACAGCCGACGAACCAGACGGAAAAGGCAACCCCCTGAACTCAACCCGTCTCGCGTACGACCTCATCCGCTCCATGGACCCGTATCATCCGGTGTCTCTAGCTCTGAACTGTAAGGACTTCTATTATGAGGAGTATGCCTCCGGGGCGGATATCATCCTGTCGGATGTGTATCCCGTCGCGACGAATACTTCCTGGTCGACTGTGTATGACACGCCGTGTAATGCTACGTATGGGTGTTGTGGGTGTGATGATTGCAGGGGCGAGTTCGAGGATATAAGTGATAGGTTGGATCAGTTCTATGACTTTGATGCGGTTATTGGTTGGGAGAAGGTGCATTGGGGCGCGCCGCAGGCGTTTGGGGAGGAGACGTTTTGGACGAGGTATCCTACTGCGGTGGAGGAGGTGGTTATGGTTATGTTGAGTGTCAATCATGGCGCGATGGGCATTGTTATGTGGGATTATCCGAGCAGTGATGGGATTGAAAGGGTTACGCGGGAGTTGGCGCCTGTGATTACCGGGGAGGTGTTTGTGGGGTTTTTGGAGGAGGGGGTTAGAAGGGTGGGGGTGGTGAAGGGGGCTGGGAGGGTGGATGTTGCGTGGTGGGTGCTGGAAGAAGAGGGGAAGGCATTGGTGAGTGTGGTTAATTTGAATTATCGGGGGATTGGGAAGGTCAGGGTGGGTTTGGAGGGTGTGAGGGTGGCTGGGGTGGAGAAGGTGCTTTGGGGTGGGGAGGGATGGGATGTCAAGGATGGGGAGTTGGTTCGGGAGGGGTTGGGAGGGTTGGAGGTGGGTATCTTGGTGGTGAATTTGGTGTAGCTACCTACTATTATAGATGGGAATTGTAAATATGATTATCATATATCACATTACTACATTACTTTCTCGTCGTGATATCTATATGGGTAGGTTACATGGGGCTACAATGCAAGAAGCAATCCCACGCCCGCAAGTCCTGAAAGCAGCTTCATGGGGTTGCTCGTGGCCTGCGCTGCAGCACCCTCCGAGGAAGTGCTCGTAGCTTCGGCCGATGAGCCGCCGCTCGAAGCAGTGCCCGTCGCCCCGGTCGCTGTGGCCGTAGCAGTGATGGTGACACCCGACAGAGTGGGCACTGCAGTGCCAGTCGAGACCAATCCATTTCCAGTAGCGGAAGAGACGGCAGAGGGAACCGGTGTCGCTCCTGGCACAGCGGACGTTCCCGTTCCGATCTCAAGGATATCATCGTCACCCGGGTTAAAGTTGGTGTTGGCGAGGGAGATCTCATTATTCTCGAGATCGTATACAACGTATGCGCTGCGCAGGAATGTATCGCCGAGCAGGTTCACACCCGGCTGGCTCGGCACGAGGCCCAATACGCAGGTGTTGTCGGGCCACCCCGGCTCCGTTGCGGGGATAATCAGCTCGCTCATACTGACGGTGACCGTTGCACCGGAGAAACTATAGGTCACGTTGTAATCGGACTCTCTGGTGTCGCAATCGATGTAGGCCATGTCGTATGTCTTGTCGTAGGTTGCGTTGAGCGCATCATAAACCTTGTTGACGAGATCGCTGGGCAGCGCCGTCAAGGTGGTGCCAGTATCAAGTGACACGGAGAGGGGAAGACTGTCAGTAAAGCTACTGGTGTTGGAGTCGGTCGCAACGCTAAGCTCTGTGAGGGCGATGGCGAGGGAGTAGTATTTGCCATAAACTGGAATAATCGGAAGGGTCTGGAGATCGCCCTTGTATTTGGCTGTATTGACACCTCCGAAAAGGAGCGAACCGGTCGACGCCTCCAAATCATCTAGCCAGATGCTGTACGCAGCAGACTTGATAGCACCGCTGTCGACGAGGGCCTGAGGGAGGTTGGCATAGACTTTGTCGTCGTACTCGGCCTGGTAGGTCGAAATTTTGTAACCGACACCGGCGATCCCGCCTATAGTACACCGAGTCAGCGACGATCATCATGGGGAAGACGGCTCACCCACGTTTACTAGTCGTAAATTCGGCGATCCCAAACTGCATGTCATCGATTGTCGTGTTGCCGATCGTTAGTTTATCAGTCACGTAAGGTCCGTAGAGATTTGTGCCGTCCGCATATGTATCATTGAGGTATGTGCCGACGGTTTTCACGGTGGACGATTCGCTGGCGTTGTACAAGCCATAAGGGGTGCATAGATTGTCGATGGAGCAGTAGGTCGAGTTGCCGGTGTTCACCCAGAGGTCGCTGCTGCCAGTGTCCAGAGCCAATGACACCTTTTGCGCCGGTGTTCCTAATGTCAGGTTCACTGCGTAATAAGTCGCATCCTAGCGACTGTCAGCATGATTTATCCTTCACGACGTTATAGCTAACATACCCAGTTCTGCAAAGTCACGGCGACCGTAGAATCTCTTTTGTGCAAGGACTGGCCGCTCCTGCGCTCAATGGGCATTCGAACGACGGCAGGCTCATCGCGTTTATGGAGAGACAGGCCATGGGCAAACGGAATGCCCGCCGCAAGAGGAATAAGTACCGCACCTCTCATCTTGACCGACCGGGTGTCTGCTTTCCTGTTCACAGACACGTTATAACGTAACTTGCAAAGAAGCACAAGTTAAAGCCGGATATGCCGCAGCCCAGGGAGATTAAATTGGCCCCCAAGAGGCAAGGCCGCAATTCCTGTCTGCCTGTTCTCATGTCAGCTTCAACGGCGAGGCTAAGGCAATAGTGTGAGCATGGTGCTCACACTTTGCACTGGTATAGCCAGTCATCATCAACAAAGTGACTCAGCCCCAAATTTGGTCAAAGCGAAGGCTGCGTGGAGCCTTTCGCAACGAACGCTGGATCCAAAGGGTCTGACTTCTACACAGTATAAGCGAGCCATCGTGACCTTGGACGGCTATTTCCGCCTAGCTCCGACCAATTCTCCGAATTCGGTCGAGCAGCCGGATGTTCGGCGGTTGATGGGCGTCGGGCCTCCATTCTGATTTGAGCAATCTAATCCGTCTCCATCGCAATCTAAGACATAACGGCGATGCACCTTCATTGGGCTGTTGCGAGCGGGTTTTGCGGCCATTCGCTTGGCGGTGGGCCAACTCCGTAGCCGCTTTCCTATCACGAAAATCGCTCATGCTGCCTGCAGGAAGCGGGGATCAGGCTTTCCATCTGTCGGAAAATTCTTGATCCAGCTGCGCTAGACAATTCAGGTCACTAGAGCGCCTGTGCGGGCAGACTAGCTTTGTGCAATCCAGAATTTGTCTCATTGCCATGTGCAGGGTGTACGAGCAACTCAGGGGTAGTAAATCGGCGTGGGAATTTTGGCAGGCAATCTGCGCCTTGTGGTGGCGCGCGACATCCACCACGACATTAGAAACCATCTCTAGGGCCGCTTCTGAGTGTTGCAGCCCTTGCAAGTCGACGGTGTCGAAAGGGTAGCTTAGGACTTCCTGGTGTAACAAGCAGAGGGCTCTAGCCGATCAGTTAGCTGCAGCCGAGTGGCGTGGTTCCTTAGACTACTCATGGGCCTTAGGTCACAATACATGGGTATTACGGGTGGCATACCTCACTGCAGATGCTATAGGACTGCACTCATGGCCAATTTCTGCGGTACCCGTGTTCATCCGTTCGGCAAGGAAGCTTTGCAGCTGCTTGTCGAGTTGTTGAATCTCTACCATTCTACCACTATCGGTTTGGGGCTGCCTTCGCACAGCTAACACCCGGTCGAGAAGGAGCACAGCTCGTGCCTGATGGCCGAAAACGCAGCGTTTCCTCTCCTGGTTCGAAGGCAGACACTCATGTGGGCAGCTTCCTATTGGACGAACAGTGGCTTGGACAGGCTGAAGGTCACTTGGTAGAGGGAACTCAAAAGACGGACAATCTGTCGTAGGTCGTTGCGTCTTGTCTTTGATTTCGCATAAAATAAGCCTAGGTTGGGTGAGCCTGTGTTCGAAGACCTACTTGTAGTTGACCTACCTCTCGAGAATGATTACACCCCACCACAAATTCAGACGCTCCCGTCTTTCAGATGAGTCAATACTAGCATCATTGGTCTGCCAGGAGCTGGAATCTGCTAGCCCAATCGCAAAGGCACTTCTGGCTAAACTCCCCATCGTAATGTGCGCTGCCTCGGGCCGTCCGTTGGCATACTCGTACGCAGCGATAAGCAGTCCAGCCTGAATAAGATATGTCGAGACACACAATATGGCTTGGGCTTCCGCAAATAGTATTTTCATAGTGGCATATAGGCTATGTGGTGTTATGTGTGTATGGAGTTTCGACGGCTGCAGCGTCACCAGGCACATACCCAGCACAAGGACGGAAAAGTCTACTGGTGGTGAGCGAGACGGGCTATTGTACCGATCCAAGCTTTCTTGAAACAGGTCGTATGATACTACTGGAAGCCAGTTGTGAAAGTTGCTGAAATACCGGCGACTAATTTCCTGCAGTGAGAGGTCTGCCAGTTGAAAGATGCGGTATACATGGTGCCATGTCCTTCTGGGCACCATTGACATGTTTTCTGACGGCGGGCCAAACAGTGAAACCATCTGTAACAAGATCGCATTTGTTTCTATCTGAGTAATCGCATCCGCAACGGGTTCATCAGCGACGGGAGATCCTTGGTATCGACATGGCAGGTTCCGTTTGGCGCAGTAACCGCAGGTTGGAAGTTTCTTGTCGCATCCCTTCTTCCTTGATTTGCAGGTCAAGCACACATGCGACGCCCGCTCTATCACCGGTTCCTTCATCCTTCCTGTTCTCCTCACTCTAGATTCCTCGATCGGCCAGTCGCAACAAGGGAGCGTGTATCTATTGGTGCCGGTCGGCCTATTATTCATCTGTTAGTATCGGACATCAGGTGTTGAAGGGGACACGAGAGAGCAATTTTACCAAGGGGTGCAATCAATTAACTCACTGGGACTGTCGGCCGCCGCTAGGCCATTGTGGCCGATCGTGGTGTGGATGATGATGGTGTCTTATAGATGGATCGACAACTTGCCATGCCAGGGACACGTCACGTGATGAATTGGCTGCCTGATGGGACCAGCGGCCGCCACTAATCCTGTTCTGGACAATTGGTTATCCTCCAACCCGCACTGTCATTGGCTTATCGACCACCTGGAATGTCATTACGACTTCGGTGGGAACACAACAGCTGCATGGATGAGTGTTGCTTCCGTCACCTCTCTCCAGTATGCTGAGATCTTCATTTATAATAAATGCCCCTGCGTTTTGTCGCGGATCTTCGCAATGCAATCACACTCAGCTGAAGCTCCCAGTCCTTGGGTAGTCGTCGTTTGTTCTTCCCGTTCTCTCACAACATATACATCGTTCATACTCCGGTTCAATTGCTTATCATGGCACGCATCAACGATCCGAAGCAAACTGAGAAACAAGTACTTCAGTCAGGAAGTAAGCCAGAACAGCAAAATGATATGCACACCCGAGTCAACCACCGAGAAACGCCCCTTTCGGATCCTGATTTCACAGTCACATTTGAAAAGGATGATCCTGACGACCCACGCAACTTTGGCAACTTGCACAAGGTCTATATTACCTGCCAGCTGAGCATGCTCACCTTTGTTGCGGCATTGGGCTCATCCATCTTGTCTCCGGGACAATCAGATATAGCGGAATATACCAACATTAGCTCCGAGGTTGCAGTGCTCGCGACTTCGTTGTATATCCTTGGTTTGCCTATCCGCCACCCAAAGTCAGATCCAAGCGCTCACTTATACAGGCTGGGCGGTTGGTCCAACGTTATGGGGACCGATAAGCGAGGTTTATGGCCGCAAATGGGGAATGCTTCCAGCTCTCTTTTGCTTGGGCTTGTTCAGTATCGGAACGGCAGTAAGCCAGAACGCCGCCAGCATCTTCATCACCAGGTTCATTGGTGGGATCTTTGGCTCTGCACCAATTAGCAATGCCAATGCAGCGTTAAGCGACATTTACGCACCGAAAGAGCGAGGCATAGCAGTGGCATTCATGATGCTGTGTATCACAGGAGGGCCATCTGTTGGACCTCTCATTGGCTCTGCAGTGGTTTCAAATTCAAAGCTTGGGTGGCGTTGTAAGGATTGGCACAACTAACCTCGATTGTACAAGCTGATGAGTTCAGGGACCATGTATATCGAAGCCATTTGCTGCTTCGCCTTATTTACCCTTGCTACCTTGACCCTGTCAGAAACTTATTCTCCTGTCCTCTTGAAAGACAAAGCCCAGAAATTGCGCAAGACGACGGGAGAAAACAGATACTGGCATCCTCACGAGCATGAGAGCATCAACCTCGAAAATGCAGTTACGAAACATTTCCTTCGTCCGTTACGGTGTGTCGTCGCGCGTCGCTCTTGTCCTGAACCATTTCTGACTTTCCCCAGCATGTTGACAACCGAGAGCATCATGGCCTGCGTCGCAGCATACGCATCTTTCTCGTATAGTTTGATCTATCTATGTCTCCAGGTATACCCCATTGTATTTGAAGAGGAACGTGGATACAGTCCAGTGATTGCTTCCTTGCCATTCCTCGGGATCCTTGTCGGCACAGCTTGTGCTGTCGGAATCACCTTTGCATATCGAACACGATATGCCAAAGCGGTCATGGAAAACGGTGGAAAGGCCGTTCCTGAAGCACGACTTCCTCCGCTGGTACTCGGGGTGATCTTTCTGCCAACGGGACTATTCTGGCTTGGATGGACCGCAGCACCAAAATTTTCGTGGGTTCTGCCCACAGTTGGAGGAGGTATGCAATAAGATTCTCCCACCATGTCTGACAGACTTCTCACATCTATACAGTATTCGTTGGCGCCGGCCACAACATCATCTTCCAACAATGCATAAACTATTTGATCGACACGTACGGGCCGTATTCAGCGAGTGCAATTTCAGCGAACACCATGCTGAGATCTTTGTTGGCCGCGGGGCTGCCATTGGCGGCGAAACCAATGTTCCACAATCTGGGCGTGGGACCTGCTGCTAGTTTAATGGGAGGCATCGCTTGCCTTGCATTGCCGATACCCTTCGTTTTCATGAAATATGGACGCAACCTGCGCGAAAAGTCAAAATTCGCACCAGCCAGTTCGGACTAGTCCTTTCACATTCTGTCACTGGCGAAGATAACAATATCCCTACATCCCCGCGTCGGTGATGATGTGACGTCCGACGACCGACTGAATAGACGCTATCGATATACCACAGCTAGGAACTTATCACTTCGTGTATTGATATTAGATCATGCTTGCTCGGATAAGCGATAGAACTCAACAATATCACTCATGTATACAACAGAACATTGCTCAAGCCGATCGCTCTATATGTTACATTGTTGTTATGATGAGTATTCCGAACCTTTTTCGGTCATAATCAACGAAAGCAGCATATCCTTGCGAGACCCCGCATAGCTCGGCTTTAAGACGGGTCGTGGCTTCGGCTCCAGACAGACTTCTTACAATGGAGAGGGACAAACAGTACAGGCCTGAAGTTAACAAGGCCGTCAAGCACAACTTCTGCTAATATTGTCCACATATATAGACGTCATTTATGCCGTCTATGCTGAAACGAGAAGAGATAAATGCTTTCAAATACAGCAAGAACTCCAGGGTGTGCAAAATGACAGCAGCGCCAGAACGGCCCAATTGCCGAGGACATGATCTGAATATCGGCCGGCCGTGCTCATCATACCCCGGCTACTGCATCTCGTTTCGTCACAATGCCTGCACAACAAACATCGCTTACAATCTTTGGGCCTAATACTCACTGCCTGTTGTGGAGAAGGGACTAGATGTGGGGATTATGCGGGGTATGGGGATTGAAGAAAGCAGATATTCGTGGAGTTGCAGATACAAGTAATACGCCCGCCGTAGATATATAAATCTGCACAGCTCTCATTCCATAACCCTCATTCTCAGACAAATCATCAGTAAAGAAAGTACCGGCCCCAGTGGCCCAGCCACATAATGCTTCTCATCCTCTTCCTCGTCGCAGTAGCGGCATCTTCTCCCATTCATAATGCCTTCACCACCCCCATTGTCCATACCAACTATGGTGACATTCTGGGCACAACATCCCCCTACCGTCCCAGTATCAAAGTCTTCAAAGGCATTCCCTACGCGGCACCTCCCACCGGCGAACTCCGCTGGAAGCCCCCGGTCAAGCCCCAGTCATGGAGCGGCACCTACAATGCAACAGAGTTTAGCGCCCAATGCCCCCAGGCCCTAAACATGGGCACCGGCCTATGGACGACCGGCTCAACCGATCAAAGCGAAGACTGTCTCTACATGAACATCTGGACCCCTACCACCACACCTTCCACTCCACTCCCCGTCTATATCTGGGCCTACGGCGGCCGCTTCGTTGACGGCTCCGGCGACGTCGTAACCTACGACGGCAGCGGCCTCGCCTCGCAAGATATCATAACCATCACCTTCAACTTTCGTCTGGGTCCTCTTGGCTTTCTCGCCCACCCTCTCCTCTCCGCCGAATCCCCTCATAACAGCTCCGGCAACTACGGCATCCTCGACATCATCGCCGCCCTGAAATGGGTACAAGCCAACATTGCCTCGTTCGGCGGTGATCCTGCCCGCGTTACCGTCGGCGGCCAATCCTCCGGCTCGTCCTGCTCCCTCGACATGATGTACTCCCCTCTCGCCGACGGCCTAGCATCAGGAATCATTGCCGAAAGCGGTGCGCGATCTCCTCGAGACCCCCTCACAGGCAGCCTGGCAACAAGCTACCGTCAAAAAGACGAAGCCGAATCCTCCGGCCTCTCCGTGATGACCTCGCTCAACGCATCAACCCTCTCCGAAATGCGTGCCCTCTCCGTCTCAACCCTCCTAACAACTGACCTCCTCAACGCCACCATTTTCGACAACACCAACTACCAAAACGTCAGCACCTTCATGGAAGCTCCAGAATGGCGCCCTGTCCTAGACGGCTACGTCCTCCCACACACCTACGCCTCCACCCTCTCAAACAACACCCACCCCAACATCCCCATCCTAACCGGCAATAACAAAGACGAGTCCGGCGCCGCTACAGACCCAGGCTTCACACTCTCCACTTTCCGCTCCAACTTCTCCACCATGTTCGCGCCTTTCCCCCATCTCGCGGAAGAATTCTTCTCCCTCTACCCCGCCAACGACACAGAATCAACTACCCCAGCCAATAATGCCTTCTGGGCAGACCTAGGCAGAGTAAGTACCTGGTCCTGGGCCCTAGATTGGTACGCTGGCGGCGCTACAGCCCCCGTGTACACGTATTTCTGGGACCATGCGCCGCCGGGACAGAGTCTGGGTGCGTTCCATGGGAGTGAGATGTACTATGTCTTTGGGAACTTGCCGTATAACTACCCGGATATGCCGTGGACGGAGCGGGACTTTGAGATTGAGAGGGTGATGGTGGCGTATTGGGCGAATTTTATCAAGTATGGGAATCCGAATGGGGAGGGGTTGGTGAGGTGGGAGCCTAGTGGGGAGGGAAAGGAGACGATGTATTTGGGGGATGAATTTGGAAAGGGTAGGTTGACGGATGGGGAGGAGAGAAGAGAGTTGATGTTGCAGTGGCTGGCGGAGTCGGAGGTTTGGTGAGCATGGTGTAGAAGATAGGATCGGAAAAGAGCCGGGGAGAAGGGATGAATGGAGGAGATCTACGATAGTTGTAAAAACCGCAAGCATTCTATTACCCTGGAGGTCCTGTGCCTCATAAGCAGTAGCGGGCTGTTCTTTATATCGCAAAAGAAACTCAAAAGGATTTTGTTTGTCATTTGTCCGCGGACCTGGAGTGCGTCGTGATATTCAAACAAGGATTTTCCTGATTAACGCAGGAATATCTATCTACCAAGTAAATGCCTCCTCGAAGTACCGTATCCCCTGACGCCCCCTTCTCATAGCCTCATACACCGCTAACCGACACTCATCGGCCATCATTCCCGGTCCAGAGCAAAGCACTGCTAGCCTTGTACGGGATTCGTGAGTCATTTCAGCCTCTGACTCCACAGCTCCACGAATATCAGGTCGACCTGAATAAAAGCGTATATCTGCCGCCTCTCTCTTGGTCTTAGACTCAGCATCCACCTCTTTATCGCTCTCAATTGGTGACACCTGAGCACTTTCCGTACAGAAGAAGCTAACTCTAACACCCTCACATTCCAACACATGGCTCAGTTCTTCTGTGAATACAGTAAAGAACATACTCTTCTGACGAGCCGACCAAATGAGATGTAATCTTGTCGTCTTCGTGGTTCGTCTCTTCAACCGGGCGGCATAGTCGAGTATATATGGCAGTGTAGCTGCAATGCCTGTCCCACCGGCAATTAAAAGGACCGTAACGAATGTATGTAGTGGTTCTGTATGGCCATAGGGCCCTTCGAGTAGGAAGAGTGGGTGTATGATATTATTTGCTCTGATGCAGCGATCACGGAGGGATCTTGTCCAGCCGTTGTAAGGACGGACATAGAAGGTCAGTCTGCTTTTCTCCTTCGATGAACAGGATGGTCCTTGGGAATATGCACCCAGTGCGAAAGGGTGGTTTTCCAAACAATGCACGCTCAGTGGCTGGGAGAGGAAGTAGTGTTGGCCTGCCTTGGGTATCAGATGGGAGGGTGCCTCTATATCTATCGTCATTAGGTCGCTGTCGGGCGCGTAGGTAACGGTTGATGATGGCAGGGAGATTCTTCTTTCGCTGAATTGTATGTGGAGATTGCAGTATGCGATGCGAAGTACGCGGAGAACGCGATCGAAGGTCCATATAGCTACTACCGTCCATAGGTATGGGTTCCACTGCGGTCCGTCGGGGCGGGTATGTCTGATGGATTAGTAGGAGGGTGAAGAAGGCAAGGAACCGACTTACTGGAATAGAGCATAGATTATGACGATAGCCAGGACGATGTGGGAGATGAGGAATATCTCGTACCACTTGCGTCGTAGCCATGTGATGGAGTGGATTAACAACACTGACATGCCAATGACCGCCTGAAGAGATTAGAATAGGGCATCAGAAGGTGCAATTAAACTCACAATCACGCCCATGTACCACGGCTTATGGCTCCACGCTTCGTGATATTCTCCCTCTGAATCGTTAGTAGTGCAATTGAAGTGAGGACGAAAGGCTTACCATAGTCTGCTAAGATTATGCTGTACCCAATCGTGTGAACAATGGCAAGGAGTGTGCACGCCCATGCAATATGCCGATGAAATGTGTTGAAGGATTCAATGTCAAAGTTGGTTACCCAGAGGAAGATGTTGTTGCGTCCGCTAAAGAGCCATAAGAACGGCAGACAAGCATAGGCAAGGATACCCGTTCGATCGGAGGAATAATGCCAGTTGCGCTGGGGCATGGTCGACGTCCTAGTGCTGTTAGCTTTGAATATAGGAAGATGTAAAATGCTTACCTAGTGCCTCCATTGTAGTTGACACAAGCTAAAAGGACACAGAGGAGCCAGAAGCCGAGAACGATTATTAAATCAAGTCGCTTGGGAATGCAATGTCCGTAAAGAAGTCGCTGGTGATGAGGCAGTTTTGGTGTGAAGCTTGCTGGAACAACAATGTGTGTACGCAGAGCATGGATGGTTGACGATAAGGGACGAGAGATTTGCTTGTGTTCGATAGGTCCAGGGACTGCATTGGCTTCAGTATCTCTGCGTGTGTCCATAGCCCGCCTAATCGTCCAAGAGCTAAGGATTTTCTGCACCATTCCGAGGCCCAGGATAGCTGCCCAGTAGCCCATTAACCCCCAGCCAAACCGGATATCCTGGCCCAGTGCTTTTTCATGAATGACCTGTGGCAGAAATTAGGCGTCTTTACTTTTGATAAGGATAAGATGTACATACACATGTTTTATACGCCCGCTTGTAATATGACTCACTCAACAGGACAGGTGACTTGATGGTGCCAGTAGAGGCAGTCGTATTGACATCCGGATCAAGAATTGGCATTGAGTTGTACGACTTTGACGGATTGGATTCAATAGATGAAAGATCGACGTCGCACAATTCCTGCCAGAACGAAGTGGTAGCCGCTGGACTACTTCCATCACATCTCGCCCTTGCACTCGCATACATGGAAGCAACTTCCACCGTCCTGTTGCAGATACCCTCAAGGTTTGTTGTTGTCTCTATATAGCTTTCTTCGGCAAAGAAGCTTGTCACCGATATTGAATGATTGTAACTCCCTCCATAAGGGCCACTAGCGAATGTATATTGTGATAGAGCGGTGTATATCGGACATAGACAGTCCGCATCGAGGCTACTGATGACATCGGGAGAGCGTTTCTGCTCCGCCAGGGCAGGGGCAACGATAGCTAAGAAGGAAGTTCGCAAAAACATTTCGCTTGTCAATATTGATTGTGTAACTGACAACAGCCTGTTGCGCCACAAGGCCAATTATAAGTGAAACTTCCGGATAAAGACATTTTGACTTTCATCAAGGTCCTTCTTCGTATGCAGCACTGCCCGCACTCCAGCCAGCTATATTAATATCATGCCGTTGCCTGGAACAGCGTGTGTATGCATCGACCCAATGTGTGGGAGCGGGGCATAGGCCTGGAAACGGTGGCTATGAAGATCTTGCAGATGACCACGGAAGAAGGCCCGTAACTAGGTATTTAGGCGGTCCTTGGTCCGCATGAGGGGGAGGGGCACGATGAGGGGATGAATGGGGATAGGAAGATACTGTGGCTGTTGCAAGGCACACTCATAACGTAGGCAGTGGAAGGACGATATCAACAACGCTTGCTTCTTTCGCTAACCACTAAATAATAGCCCTGACAATTGACACTGTAGTCAAAAGATAAAAATGGAATCGGAAAAAGCAAAGAAAAGTTTGAAATGTCCACGGATCTGCAAGTGGTAGGCAGCACAAAAACAAGCCTTCCGTCGATTCTTGGCTGTTCTGCACGATGGCTATGGACGGGACAGGATGCATGAAGTAATGGGACTAATTTAGAATATTTCGAAGTGCCCCGTCGATTTGGGTCGGTCGGACACGTGTAGAAAGGCGACACGACCGGGGATTTGTTTTACACGTCTCCAATTAGGGACCTTGGAAGTTTCTTTTTTCATAGCGGTTCGTAAGGTTGTTTTAGCGATAGATGCCATCACTACTAATGAGATAAGATTACTGTGCAGAATCTTTATTTTGCCAGAGATACAACTCGTCTGAAACTGTGAGTCCTATGGGGACCAGCCTAGATGGTGCTTTCATCTTCAGCCCTAAATACTAAAGTTCCAGTCTACACATCACCCCAATACAAATTCTTCAATCTCATAGAGAAGCATCATTGCTGCATCAAATGCGTCAGACAAACTTCCCCGCAAATTCTTCTCCTCATCCCACTTAAGATACAGACCTCTCCAATCTTTTTCCCGGAGGCTCTCCAACAAGGTATCCCAATGATGCCACATCCGACTGAACCGCAACCCCGCATTCCACCTGCAAGCCATCCCGTCCACCCTTCTATGAATGGCTGGACCATTTCAATCTGGTCATCGGACTCAGGAATTTGCAAGTATGACATCGTCGCATTGATATGATGTTTGGTGGGAATTTCCATAGCCGAGGCGCTGGTATACCCCCTCCAAATATACAATAGTCTATTTACGAGGCCGGGAAACGAGAGTAGACTATCTGGGGAAGTTGAACAAAGATAGGTGAAATGAAAATGGGCAGAAGGACTGGGATAAGCGGCTGGCAAAGAGTCCAAACATGGATATCTGCAGAAAAGGTAGAATATAATGCTAGAATTTCAAGATCTGTGGGGAGGTTTGGATATAGGGCTTATCCACACAAAGATCGTAACTAGATAATGCGGTAAAAAGTATTCTTTCATATAAACACGCAGATTAGGTGATATGAGCAATCTTAGAGGTGAATTATATCTCAGTCACCGGTCATTGGCTATTCCCTTGAAATAGTGACTACTATCAACCTTCGAGAGGAAATATCAATTCTGCCAATATGAATATAAAAACCACTATCCTCCACCTTGATCTAGCCTGTATCTCTCAACTCTACTTAATATCCGAAATAGGCAGGTATATAGCAGCCTTAGACACACTCATAATATATTTATATATAGATTAAGTTATGTCAAGAAAGAAAGGAATTATACTTTCCTCACATCATCTCTATAAAGATAACTTTGAAGATAACACCCCAGAATAAATCCCCTGGGAAGCCTTAGCATTTCCAGTAATACCATATAATTCGCAGCCTTTCGCAGCGATCGATAGCCTCCAGCTGCCAAGACGCGTGTGTGGTGGCGAACACTGATGGACCAATGGATATTACCCGTGAGAAAGTGATAACGAGGATAAGGTACTACATTCAGGTCTCAGGAGTAATATCGTGCATCATTCCATATATATAGGAGATGGTTCACAGCGCCAGCCTCATCCAAAGTTTGTCGCTCTCGATCAGAAGCTGATCACAAGCGTCAAAGTAATTCAATTTCAAATGAAAGCTACTTTGAAACGCCGTGAGGCTGACCTGCTTACCTCTGAGCCCGAGGATTTTAAAAGGGCCGATGACAATCGCTTTTGGACTGGTTGGCAGAAGAACCGACCGTAAATAGGCGAATGCAGGCGCCAGCTCGGAGTTGGCAGCCAGTCGGCCTCGGTATACCAATCTCAAATCTGAACAAGACATCAGCCGGGAAATACCCCTACGCATTGTTGCACAACTGACTCCGAACCTTCAAGGAGCGGTCTCAAGCTCTATGCACTAATAGACCAAGGCCCCTTGTCCAAGCTTTGCGTTGCCCATATAATCAGTCAGAATTAGGTCTTTTATTTCTCCGAGTACCAATCTGATGATACAAACTTCAACAGCCGTAGAAAGGGCTGGAATGAGCGGGTCATGGCACAGTCAGTATCGAGCACGGCTATCACTGTTATTGCCTCAAGTAGCGTCTAGCTGCGGACGCTTCTAACATGGCTGTCGGGGGAGTTCTTTTTCGAATGATGAAATCGCCTCCGGGAACAAACTCGTGCCGGAAGACACTAGTGGAGGAACAAGCGGTCATGATCCCATCATTTGCATTAACTGACGGCCAAAGATAACACTTCAATCGAATCAATCGAACCAGAACTATAACTCATAACCAAGAAGGTAACAGTCAAGTGCAGAAGGTTTACATGCCAAAGTTAGAGAAGTGCCATATGTGATATCGCATAAAATGGTGAGCCGGCCAGAACCAAAAGCTGGTCGAAAGAATAGCATAAAAGGTTCTGAAAAAACAGGCGGAGGGTATGATTATATGACTTGTTGATCCATTGTTCTATTCATGCTCCAGAAACATCTGTCTATGTTACACTCGAAAGCAAGAGACGGCCACCGTTTCAAAATTAAGCCATGGCGAAATTCGCTGTTCTTCCCAGCCCCCGAAGGGATACATTTTAATTATCTCGAAAGTCCAGGGCGAACGCCTAACCTCACAGTGGAGTACACTTCCCGCTAGTACAAATATACATTAAGGTCCCCCTAGGAGTTTCACTTACATACATTGATTCTAGAAAGCACAATGTCCTCTATGACCGTGCAATGAAGATCGTTACTATAGTCAAATCTGAGCTGATGCAGCCTGTCGAGCCAGAACTTGCCAGTCCAAAACTTCCAGAAATGCATGCTATCTTTGGAGATCAGCTCGTCCAAGGGCAGACGAGCCATTTGGGCGGATAAAGGGTGTCATTTAGTTGTGCGTAATCTATCCGAAAATATCCTCGTCGGCTCCCATGTAGAAATACTTGTAATTGAGTATGATCCGGCGTGCGCTTAGCACTTAGTCTGAGGGCAAATATCTTAGTATGCTGGATGGAGGTGGCCTAGCTTCTTTGCTGTAGGGAAAGCGGCATATGGAAGGACCCGGAGCATCTTCTGTTAATGGTGCTAGTTATTGCTGGAGTAGCTATCTGCCGAGCACTAAGGCGGGCGAAATGCCGCGTCTCCGCAAGTGATTATCCTATGTAAGTAGAACTTAGGTGGCGCTCACTACCCACCAGATTTCCTGTATTTCCTGCCTTGCCGCCAGATCCGAGCTATAGAACATTGTACGAAAGATTAGGCACTTGTAAGTAGCTAGAAGGACCGAGAAGAGCTGAGAACAGGCTACAAAGCGATAGCAAAGCCTTGTTCTAAGGCACAAATACAAATACATCTGTCCGCGTGACTGTAGCAAAACGTGGCGGGTCCAAATTAACGTAGATAAATATAGCTAAACTAGACAGGTCTTGTGACCTGCCAACTGAACTACGAAGCTGGAGCTTCGAAAAGCTTCGATCCGTGCAGAGCACAACACGATCACGGATCATAAAACAGGCTATTATTGCGGTCCAGCCAGCAATTGTGCAGGGCAGTCAGCAGTTGGACGGGAATCCGGCCCAGATCCGACAGCCGAGGAGAAGGCGAAGAAGGCGAAGAAGGGGGAGGCGGGCTTCTGGGCCCGGCTGGACCAATGTAATAGCAGTTTAGTTGATTAGTTAGCCGGTGGCAAGGTTTGGTCACGGGGTTGTGCCACAATCAGAAATCGTTCCTGAACCAACAATTCCATCCATTCCATTTCAACGGCCCGAGCAAAGCGTGGCCCAGCGATGAAAAATTTGCCTCGTGTTCCTGAATTCGCCCGATCAGGTCATCCCGTAGTAGTAGTAGTTGTTGACAATGCCGTTGTTGTCCCTTCCTGCCACATCAGCAGCAGTAGCAACTAGCAAGAGCAGCAGTCATGCCACACAGGGCAAGGGATACATGCGGTAACCCCAATTCCGGAGATCGGCGCTTGGCTTTCCAGCTCGATTGAAATGGAGGGAAGAAACACCGCCTTTTCGAGTTGGCGACAGCCTCAGGCTAGGAATTTAAGGTTAACTTTTTCTAGTAAAGTCTGTCGTACATCTTCTGGGGGGAGGCGTGGCTTGCTATCATTCAGCAAGTTGGGTTCACCCCCAGTATCGCTACCCACCCTAAGGCTCAACATGTAGTACCAAGACAGCTCTATCAACTGTAACAAAAAAGACCTCAGGAGATCTTCCCTGCCAACTCAGCGAGGCCATGACATGGCGTCTATCAAGCCGGTCGCTGGTAAAATGTCGGTGTCATATTTTTAGGTCGCCTGATCGCCGCGAAGAGTTTTCCCCAATCCTTTAGTGTGCGGGCGAAGAGTTGATGCTCGCCCCTGAATGGATTGCTTCCGGCGTTCCACTCCATCCATCGTGGTGGGCCCTCCCACACCCCCTTCGCTTTCGGTATTTATTCTGGCACGCCTTGGGGGGCGATCCTTTTTTTATCCCCATCAGCTCGCCAGAATAGCCACACTTCCACTCTTTTGACCTCAGTTCCAATTCAGGACACTGGTTTCACTCACCACCATGGCTTTCGATTGCTACTGCGCAATCTGCGGTGTTGGTTTCTGTGGCATGCACATCGAGGCCCCGTCTGAGACGGCCCTCGAGCGCCGCAGGCGGTGGATTGAAAAGCGATGCCGGGCGCTGCAGGCCGGCAAAGACTTCAGACAGGTGTCTCACGAGGGCGAGGAAAATGAGGAGCCCGTCCGCAGCTATGATCCCCGAATTGTCGGCTGGGACAATATCTCCTGGTTGTATAAGGCACACTGCCTGGGTGTGGATGAAAACGCTAAATCGGGTGCGCCAAAGTAGGTGCTGCTACTATTCGCGCGGTCGGAGGAACCCGTTTAACAATCTTATAGAGCGTTTCTCTCGGATGAAGGATATTATGCCGATATTGTAGGCGCTCACTGAGTGCGAATCATGCGATCGAAGCTAATTACGTATCAGGGCGAGTTCGTCGTCAAGGCCAAATCTGGTATGCTGATTGAACGAATGTGCTTGGGTACACGTTATTGACCTTCTTGCAGATGGTTCTCGGTCGCGTTCTCAGCGCGTTTATTCATGGTGTGACAAACCCACTTCGTAGGCCCGTCTTGTTGACCCATTCTGACCGTTCAAAGCTATGGCCATGGCTCGGAGGAAGCGCCCGGTCCCGTATTACCGTTCCACTGGTGCTGTTTTGAGATCTTAACTCGCGCACTGACGGGTACGACTGACACTAAAAACGTCAATCTGGACGTGTTGTACAATATCATGACGCCGTTGTGCAACATGTCCGGGTCCGCCCTGCAATTGAGCTACGGAGACGACATCCAGCGCTCGCAAGGCCGCTACTGGGAATGTATCCCGGGCGCAGAGGCAAGCATATCGTTACCAAGCTGCGTCTAAACCATGTTAACAATCGGAGCAGTACTGTGCCGCCCACCCGGTGGAAACACCCGGACTCGATGAACACCTCCAGAGCAACATGGAGACGAACAGCGGCTTGAAGACCCCATTCGTGGAGCTGGATCTCCGCGACCGGAAGCCTGTCAGCCCATTCGGCAAACTGCCCCTTGAGATCGTTTATCAGATCTGCAAATTCTTGCCTAGCGATTCGCTGAAGGCACTGACTGAAGCCTCCCTGCACATCCACCTCGTCACCCAGGATAATCTATTCTGGAAGCAGTATATGCAGCAGAACATGCCATGGTTCTGGGAGCTTCAGGCAGCAAAGAACCAGAAGGTCCCGGCGGATCTCAATTACAAGAGGATGTACATGTGGCTCGAAAAGATGACTGCTCCGCGGTACGGCATGGATGATGTGAAGTTGATTGGTGTTGCCAACCGGAGACGCATCTGGGGTGTTTGCGAGGATCTCGCGGATCGGTACAACAAGAGCCTGAATCAGCCCACAGTCAATGCAACGCAGTGGGGAAGTGGCTGAGCGACTGTACTCTATGCTGTGATAAGATGGAGAAATAGTCCCGCCCGACAGTTTGGCGAGATGCCCGACCGATGGCTCCCCACGACGCGCTTCAACCTGAGCGTACGACACGTCGTGTCAGATTCCACCATTTATGGGGATCTCGTAACGCGTGTGACCTGGTGATATGGATCAATCACAAGTAGCTTGCTGGATGTGCAGGGTGAAAGTGATAGGGAGACTGGAAACAGTTGATCCTTCGTTCAGGTTCGTCAGGAAAGGTGGAGAGACCAAAGTTGGGCACGAGATTTGGGCGATCAGGTCATGTGCTGCGGAGTACTTCACTCGATACCTTAGCACTAATACTTACTCTTGATTACCATGTGTTGTAGACATGTTTCTCATGCAGCCAACCCTCTTTTGATAGTTTACTTCTCCAAGGGAATATTGTTCTTCGGGAGTCTACAGCCAGTTACATATCAATGTACAGCTCAAACATCCATGCCTTGCCACCAAGTTCATACTTCCATTTTCACTACTTTCCTGCCCTGGGGATAAAGATATATGTCAACAGCTTAATCAGAATATTCCACAAAGGTGTGAAGCACACAAGCACATCCACCTCCAATCAGTCCGCCTTATTCTTCGCAAACCGCCCCGTAAATCTCCGAATCTGCTTCCCCCAGATAAATACCGGAATCCCCAACAGCCCAAACGCCGCCGTCAAGGCCGCATAAGTTCCAAAGGCACCATCATACCCATGAAGCTCAATAAACGGCGACACGGCATAACTCGTCCCAAAAGAGATGAATCCCCGAAAGGCGCAGATGATAACCAACAGCGGCCCCGACCTCCCCGGATAACTATCGAGTAAGTACGTAATGCCAACGATATTCGCCCCGACGAAGCAAAAGTAGTACGCTGCCACCGTCCAGGCATATATAAACCAGTGGTATTGGTAAGGGTGGGCGCCACCCTGGCCATATAGTGCTGCCGTGAAGGTGCCGACGATGATGGGGAAGATGAGAGGGATGATGCGGATTTCGGGCTCGTGGATACCGTTGTTGCGTTTGGCAAAGTATTTCACGAGGTAGTCGGAGCCGTGGCCGAGGAGAGGCAGGGCAACGATGGCGACGATGATCTGGCCGCAGTTGATATAGCTTGCGCTGCTGTCGGGCCAGTTGTAGGGTGGATTGGCGAGGATGGTGCTGTATGTGGTGCCGATAGCGACGTTGACGCCGATTGTGAGGCCATTTAGAAGCAGTGCCCAGAGGACGTTTGGGAAGAAGAGGAGTTCGAAGGTTTGCTGGCTGCTGTTAGAGAGATGTAGAGACGGTTCTGTTTGCACAGGTACTTACTCTTAGTACGTCCCAGGTTTCTGTCCACTGGGGCTTCCCGACCCAAAGTCGCATGTCGGATTTCCATGTGCGCCGTGTGTATCTCTCGAAGTCTAAGGCAGGGCGGACGGTGCATACCTCGACTCCTAGGTTCTTTTTGAGATCAGAAGAGGTGCTCGTTGGGTCGGAGTTTGTTTCCTGGTAGGATGTGAGAGGGCGGTCGTATTTCGTTTCTGGTAGGAGGACAAGAGCAACTAAGAGCAGTGCTCCAGCAAGACCGGCTCCAAGACCATACCACCCCTCTGGTGTGATGGACTGGGCGATTGGGCCTGCAAATAGTGTCCATACAGATGTTAGGGAAACTTGGATAGCTAGTTGTACCATGAGGGCCTTGCTGCGTTCGTGGAGGAAGAAGATTTCCTGGGGAAAGCAAGTCAACAGGTTGTTCTAAAATGGTTCGGTGGATGATGTACCTGGGTAATCATTGGAATCAGTGCCTCACTCTGTCCAGCTGCTAAGCCAAGCACCATTCGAGCACCAAGATGCCATTCGTATGTCTTTGCAGTTGCGCATAGTACTGATCCAAGGACGAGCACGACTGTTGAGACTAAAAGGACGATTCTCCTTCCCACACCAATTGCTATTGGCATACCGATGAGGTTCCCGATGCCCCTGGTTCAGAATCAGCTCTGCCCCCAATGTGGTACTTCATAACTCACATGAACAACGTCGGGTATGTCATCAAGTTGGAAATGTCATCATAGTCCTTTCCTACGGCTGTATATCCTGGAATGTAGAATTGCAGTAGTCCTCCGAACCCACTGACCAAAGCCAGACCCAGACATGAGACTGCACACGATCAGGATGGTTAAATCAATTCCGGGGTGATCCACCACATACACATAGAGATGACGATAAGTATAATGGACTTCTGCCAAACAGACATATTCAAGGGATCTGTTCATTGTTATTCTTGATATCATGCTCGATAGCATAGTCGCTCACCTTGCGGGTCAGCGGTGGGAGTGGGAATATACACCACCGTCCCCTCCGTGATCTTCACAGTGCCCATCACCTTCCCCTTAGCCCTTGTAATTCCTCCCTCCTCGATGTCTTCCACGTAGACCACATCCTTCTTTGTGGTGTCGTCCATTGTAGAAGACTGGAGGATTGTTGGTGCGTGCGTCCGTTTACCCGCAATGGGTGTAAGCGGTGGTAGTAGGGGTCATGAACCAGCTGATCGTATATTTATATTCGTCATAATATCAGTTAGTATCCGTGTGACTGATGGCAGGACAAGAAAGGCAGATTATCTCGCTAGACCACTACCATAACCGTGCCGAACCTTGACTGTGACGAGTATAGCTTCGAAGCCACCAAAGCTTCCCCGCATTCCGATGGCCAAGCCGCCACCAATGGCCTCGGGGAAGGGCTCGGGGCCTCACCGAGGTCTAGTGCTCCGAAACTTAGAACTGAAGTCACTTCGGCGGGGTTATGTCAATTAGTCGGGGCAAGAGCTAATATCAACGTAACGATTCAAGTTCGGCAAGTCTCAATTGTTGTGTCATCTAGTATCTCTACTCGTGTATCGGATAACTTAAGTTACTTGAACAGTTTGAAGGCTACGAAGTGGCAGTATGGAGAATGAATCACGTAAAATTGAACAATTACGCAAAACTACCTAGTAATCCTTGACACCCGCCAGCTTGAGCACCGTATCGGTCAATTCGGGCTTCTCATAAGGCTCCGTACGATCCTTAGGGCACACCTTCCCATTCCTCATCGGCTTGTCGGTTGACGGGCGGATATTGCTACAGCAATTAGCATGTACATCAATACAGGCGGCGCATAGTTACATACCAGTGAGGCCAGTGGGTAGTCCCCATGTAATTTTCAAAACAATACTTCTTCAGCTCCAAGGCCTTTTCGGTCGCAAAGCGCCTCGGCGTCATGCAGACATACTGGACGTGGCGGATTTGGTCACCTTCGGGCAGACAAGCATAATGCATGGTCCGAGAATCCCAGAGGACCAAGTCACCGGGGTCCATATTAACCTTGATAAGTTCGCAGCCGCGGTCCTCGAACCACTTGAGATCCCTCTGATGGAAAAGGAACAGATCCATGTACTTCATCTCCGGTGGCGGAGCATCCTCGTGGTCATAGGGGTCACGGTCCTGCGCGAAGAACTCATCGAAGAGCTTGGCAGAGCCCTTCATGAGCATGAGGCCGCCGTCCTTGGGGCCGTTCGGGGCAAAGTTGACGAGACCCTGCACTGCTTGCATGCTGTAACAAAATTAGTATCCTTCTGTCTAGTCCAAGCACTTCGGTGACTTACCCCTTCCGGTTGGGGTTCTGGTCACAGTGTGGCCAGGGACTCCAGTTGACATCCTTCCGGCGCGGGAGGGAGATGTTCATGCCGTCGAAGGAACTAAGAAGCTCTTTGGTTTCCCAGAGCTTCTCAAAGATCTCAATGACGGCCGGCTCTGTGCGAGCTTCCCAGGCTATCTTCTCATGGGGTGCTGCGTAGCCATAGTACATGCTGATCTTCTGTTAGTAGTAGTCATCCCTCGGGACGAAGGGAACTTACCCTCCCTTGAAGCTGATAGGAAGATGTTCAGTAGTCCAGGTACTCTCATCATTTTCATCGAATCCAAGGTCGAAGCTCTTTAGCCACTCGATCTGCTTGTCGCAGTAGTACTTGGCCCGTTCAGGACTAATCACGTTCTTGATAACGACGCAGCCGTTTTTGTGAAACTCATCGCGCCAATCGCCGTAGTGACGGTCGCTGAAGTCAATCAAGTCCTTCACTGTGTAGGACTCGTTGGTCGCTTCGGCGATCTCATGAATGACAGTGGTTGTTGACATAGTGCTTTCTTCAATCAATACTCAACTTGATCAATGGATTGGAAGTGAACACTGATTCGAGTGGGTGTTCAAAATTCACTTAAACATCCAGCAGCCTTAAGCTCCGAAAGGCTATCTTCGCGCCCCGAAGCTCGGGGCCTTCATCAGTCTGGAGTAATGCGGGGACCCCCGAGCACCAAGCCCTTGGCTTCGGGGGAGATGCTCACTTCGGGGCTGTCCGAGCTTCGGTCACTAAAGCCCCGAGACAAGTGCAATATAGACGCCAGAAGGCGGGGAAGATGATGCTGGATGGACAACTTAAATGTGAAGAGATTGCAGTATGATTTGATTTGCTAGAGTCTGTGAAAGCTTCCAAAGCAGTACACTAACATCACGTGCTACATTAAAAATGCCTCCTCCGGTCCAAGTCGCTTACAAACGTATCAAAGCCCCGAAAGAGGGCGAAAACGGCTATGTGCGACCCAAACCAGGCAAATCAGAAGTCCTTCCAGCAGGATGGAACGGATTCAATGCCAAGCCCATACAGAGCGATATTCGCATCGACCACGACGTCGAGATCGTTGTCCGTGATGGCGCAAGGCTCTACGTCGACATTTACCGGCCGGCGGAGTTTACTGAAAAAATTCCCGCTGTATTGAGCTGGTCCTTCTACGGCAAAAAGTACAGTGCACTCGATATGCTGCCCATGTGCGTGTGGAACTGCTGTGTACCGCGCTCTGACTTGAGCGGTCTCGAGAAATTCGAGGGCCTCGATCCGGCGACATGGTGTCCGCGCGGGTATGCAATTGTCAGTGTTGACACGCGCGGAGCAGGAAATAGTGACGGACTTATCACCGTTATGGGCTCCCAAGATGCGGAAGACGGATACGACGTCGTTGAGGCCATTGCGAAGATGGACTGGTGCAACGGGTGCATCGGCATGGCCGGGAACTCGGCCCTCGCCATCTCTCAGTGGTTCATTGCTTCTCAGCAGCCGCCATCACTCAAGGCCATTGCACCATGGGAAGGGTCGGGTGATATCTATCGTGAACAGTTTTGTCGCGGTGGGTGGTTTTCGATGAGCAATTTCGATCTTATCACAAACGAAATTGTTCGTGGACCGGCCAACTCCGGCATTGAGGATTTCGAGGAGATGTACCGCCGCTCGCCTGTTTCTAGCCCTTTCTGGGAGGATAAGCGGGCAGATATGACCAAAGTGCTTTGTCCCGTCTATATCCGAGGCTCGGATGTGAGCTCTATTCACACTATGGGGTCCGTTCGTGCCTGGCTAGAGCTTCCACATGATAAAAAGTGGATTCGCTGGGGAAGCAAACAGGAGTGGTATGAGCTGTATAGCTGTCCGGAGTCCATGGATGAACTTTTCGTTTTCTTCGATCGCTATCTCAAGGGTGTTGAAAATGACTGGGAGAAGACCCCTAAGGTGCGCTGGTCTGCGCTGCAATTCGGGGATCGGGAAGCTATCGATGATATCGTACTCGAAGACTTCCCATTGCCTACCACTGAGTATCGAGAATTTTTCCTTTCTTCAGAGAAGCTTCATCCAACATTGATTGGTCCCTATGAAAAGATCTCCTACGACTCGGAGCTTACATCCAGCTTCGCCGAGTTCTCATACACCTTCGATAAACCAGCAAGACTAATCGGTCTACCGAAGGCGGTCTTGTACATGTCTTGCGAAGATCGAGACGACTTTACTGTTTTCGTTATCTTAAGAAAGAAGGATAAGAACGGGAAAGCGTTGATGCATCTCAATTTCCCATTCCATGCGACGCCGGTCAAATCGATTGACGAGATATCTGAGAAAGAACAGTCCAGCACGAACCTTCATTTGGGGTCTAATGGTATTCTTAGAGCTTCGCACCGCGCGATTGATGCAGATAAAAGCATTCACCCACAGTTCCCTTTCCACCCTCACACACGTCAGGAGAAGGTCCATCCTGGAGAGATTGTGCGACTTGAGATTGGTATTTGGGCAATGGGTGTGGACTTTGACGCTGGTGAGACGATCAGCATGCGGGTGAGTTACCATCGGTCTGCCAAATTTTAGAAAGACGGATATATGCTAACAGTGAGGAAGGTCTCTGGCCAATACCCTAGTATTGCGGAGTATAAGACTTGGTCACAGCCGCGTCCGGAGGAGGAACTTAATCGTGGGAAGCACTTCATTCATTGTGGTGGAGAGTATCCTAGTTCTGTCATCTTGCCGTTCATTTAGCGGGGTTATGGATCATGACTGTGGCTATAGAGGTATGATAGTGTCACGAGCCATCTTTTCAGGAAATTTTCCGTATTATCGCAGCCTAGCCGACCTCAACCTAATGTAGAAAACCCAAGTTCTCTAGTAGTCTTCACATCTGTCTTCTATTGTATTTGAAATAATTGATCATAACACTCTCAGTACGTGCCCTATCATCACCCCTATCGACAAAGTACCGCACAACATCAATGATAACACCCTCCAAGAAATTAATTTACATAATCCCGATATTTCCACGACTTCATAGTCGTTCGCAAGATATCAATAGAGATGAAAGAAAGGTCCGATAGCTGGATACTTTCGGGCTCTACTCAATGTCAGTCCGGCAATAACTTCTCGATCCAAACGAGCCTTTACCTCTCATGCATGATGATTCCCCGTCGATTCATACTTCTGGATCTGAAGTACGGCACGTAGAAGGGCACACACACCCCCACGGTCAAATAACCCGATATTGCCAGCTTCGCGAGTGTTGCCATGCTTGCTAGGTACGCAGGGTGTATGGTAGTAGTAAGCTGTCTTCATCTCTCAAAGTGATCTTTATATACATCTGCTACAGTTCCGGGATTTATGAAGGAGTCTCATGCGGTAAGACAGTTAGTTATCCTGGTGCATCTACAATAAGACGAGTTGGAAGTTACCTCTAGATTATTGAGCTGATTTCCATATTCCGAGCTGTATTAGTACCTAGTTGAACGACAATCTCTTCATTTGTAATTCGAGACCTCGATCGTAATCCTCCTTGACAGTCGACCGCTTGGATGCTACCAACTATTGATACACCCTTCGCCGAACGGGCCCGAGAGACTCCGCACGATGAGCCGTCGACTGCCAAATACATAGTCACGAGTACAACCACGAAGCCACCTGACTGCATCTGGGAACTGGTTGCAGCAGATGCGAAGAGGGCAGACTGCCGAAGGAGCGGTGAGGTACGCATTATCAGGCCGGAATCACAATAAATGGGGACTCCAAGTCCGTCCTTATCGACACACCCTTCTCCATCCCCCAAGCCAAAGACCTAGATTCACGGATCAAGAAAACCGTCACCGGTAAACTACTTCAATAAGTTAGATCACCAACGACCATCATGACAACTAATTCGGCATAAGTCAGGAAGCGGATATCTCCTCTCACTGACGGGGCGATGCCGACGGACTGATCAGTAATCCTGGTGTGCACCCTGTAACACCAGAAAGATAGCGCGAATGAGGGAAATCAATCAAACCTCGGTTCCTGATATGCGATATTGCCTAGCTTCTCCTTGTCAAACACGAAAGATATAAACTAACAATAAACCATGGACACAGATAGTGCGGATCAATCAGACAGAACACCTCTAACAACACATAGTCCCATCCGTCCCTAAGCTCGCCACCCAAACTGTCCCTCCCAATCACCTACCAACCCATCATAACAATGGACAATGACCTCCCAATGGCTCAAAAGCGCCGCATCATCTACATCCGTCCATTCCTCCTCTTTTATCTCAACTCCCTCATCACAGAAATCATCTTCCTTGCCGTCGGCGTCTTCATCATGACCGGCACCCGCGACCTCTTCTATAAAGTCATGTGGACACTCGTCTTCTGTCCGATAGGTATGGGCGGTGCCATGGGGGGACTGATAAATTGCTTTATTGTCGATCACTATCATGGGAAGAAGGCGGCTCACTTTACGGGTATTTTGTCGTTGTTGGTTTTGAGCGCTTGTAACTATCTGTGCTACAATTTGGACAGGCATTTTGGGTGGTTCGGGGCCAATGAGCATCCAATGTGGTTTCATTGGCGGTATCCGATGATTTGGGTTGTTGGTTACTGCAATGAGTTGCTTATGTTTACGGATAGGGGACAGGAGAGACTTGCTAGGTTGGGGTTTGTAGGGTATCATGATATCCTAGCTAGTACATTGATCATCGGTCATGATTGATGCCACAATTGCACCTCTACTATGGTCTTTCTTGAACGATTTTAGCGAGTAAAAAGAGTCGTGGCTTGAAGAATTGGCTATGTGAGTGGCTGGGAGTAGAATGATATGCAGCATGACAATAGAAATTCCGACACAAGGAGTTCTCATTGTACTTACACGAGGATTTTATTGTAGGAGAGCCATGGTGTAATGCATCTGTCTAATTTGTCGGGAAACGGCTCACTGACTTTCGGGGTTTCTAACCCGGTACTTGGCGAGGTGCTCCAGTCGAAAGCCTGGAGCTGGGGATGACTTCAAGTTTGATGCTCTGCAATATAAGCTTCTTGGCTAAAGTGTTCAGACACTTCTCGCTATGGTAACAGAGTGGATAGAATGATTTTGCCAGAAGGCCAACTTTCATGAAATTCGCAGGATCAATTCCGGCCGGAATTTGAATCCCGACAATGCGGGGATCCGGATTATTTTATAAATGATCGATTCCATCCCATCTGTATCTGCTGAGACACATTATTATCCTTCCTGACTTTACTCGATAGAATACAAAATGCTATCGAACAAACAAGCAATTGGCACCCTCTCCCTGAGCCAGCATCCCTCTCACACGCTGGACCAAAAGATCCGTGTTGCATCCCAGCATGGCTTTATGGCCGTTGAAGTCGTTTACTCTGACCTCAAGAGGTACTCAGACGCCCTAGGTGTATCAATGCTAGAGGCAGCCGAAAAGATAAAGAACCTCTGTGACGAGCTCAACGTCGAGATTTTGTCGTTGGCAGCGTTTGAGAACTTTGAAGGAAACCGCACCCCATTGGATGAACGAATGGCCACCGCAAGGCACTGGATCCACATTGCGCGCAAGTTGAACGCAACGTATCTGCAAGTGCCATCCAACTACAGCCATGATGCCAGCACGGACAAGAGCCTCATTGTATCTGATCTGCAGCGATTGGCAGATTTAGCTAGCGCCGAGGAACCTGTGGTCTCGGTCGCGTATGAGCCACTCTCCTGGGGTACATACTGTTCGACCTGGGACACAGCCCTAGAGCTTGTCGAGGCTGTTGATCGCAAGAACTTTGGTCTGTGCATGGACACCTTCCACGAAGTCACCAAGCTTTGGGCGAGCCCGTTCGAGACGTCCGGAAAGTACCCGACAGCTGATAGGGACTTGACTGCCTCCCTTGAGCGCTTTCTGAAGCAATGCCCACTGGAGAAGATCTTTTACGTCCAATTGTCGGACGGCGAGCTCTTCGACCCACCTTTCTCAAAGGCACATCCGTGGTATCTAGAGGGCGAAGCACCGCAATTCACCTGGTCTAGACATGCTAGGCCATTCCCGTTTGAAACCGAGCTAGGCGGATATATGCCCGTGCTAGAAATCGTCAAGGCATGGGTAGTCGACAAGGGGTACACGGGCTGGATCTCGATGGAGGTATTTGACCGACGGATGCGCAGCGAGGAGTTCAATCCCGAGGATGCCGGCAAAAGAGCAAGAAAGTCATGGGAAACACTCCAAGACCGCCTCCGATCCCCCACTCCATCCAAGATATAATGGCGAAATAAGCTTCTGCACAATTCAGCACCTTAAATAGTCCGTTCCTGAACTAGCAATAAAAACTGCCGTGAAACATCCCAATACCCGAGGCCCAGACCCTCCCGTAGTCCCCAACAGGCAATTACCCCCGAAACCTAGATGCACGTGACTCGCCCGATGGTTTGCCATCGGCGAACCACTCCAACGTCCCCAATCCCATCATCCCCCAGCTAATGCACATCTGATCCGCCTGTTACCTTCTTCAAGTCTCTCTTTGGTCTTTACATCCTCTTGTCAGATTCAAATGGCCTCCGACATCCCTAGGCCACCAACACTCCGCCGGTCATGCCAAGCCTGCGCGCGCGGCAAACGCCGCTGTGACCAGCGCTGGCCGCGCTGCACCCGATGCCAGACCCGGAAGATCGACTGCGAATACATCAACATCCCATTAACGGTGGGATCCGACACAGACTCAACAAGTACCGCAACAACAACAGTCACCACCAGATCAACTCTCTCGCCCAAACTCCCTCACAAGAAGCCAAGACAGCACTACCAACTAACCCACTCCATCCCCCTCTCCCTCCCCCTAGAAATCACAAAGGGCTACCCCCAACCCATCATCGCATACTTAGTCTCAGGCATGCGTGCATACCCATCCACCTTCGCCCTGAACATGAAAACCCACTTCATTCACCCAGACCTATGGCCCAGTCCATCTTCTCCCCCTTCACCTATCAGGGACATTCACACCCTGTGTAAACTACACTCCACATCACCCACCACAACAAACACAACCATCATCCCCCTCCTCAAACAGAAATCCTCATCCCTCCTCCGCACCCTCAACCACACCTCCAGCTTCGAGGAAATGCTAGCCACCGCGCAGGCCCTTCTCCTCGCGCAATGCATGCTCATTCTCTCGGACCCCGACACAGACACATCATCACAAGCCTACTCCGAATCAATCAGCACTATGCTCTACAACCTCGGCCAGAAACTGTGGCAACAGGCCCCCATCCAATTACCGGGGAGTTTGAGCCCGCGCAGAGCGTGGCTATTCGCGGAGAGTGTGCGGAGGACGATCATTGTGGGGTTCATGCTAAGGAGCGTGTACTCGCTCAAGATGCGGAATTATTCCGTCCGCACGCCGTTTGTGGATTCATTGCCGTTTGATATGAGGACTGGGTTGTGGGATCGGGATGTTGGTGTTGATGGGGATGAGGGTGGGGAGTCGCTGGATGCGATGGTCTCGTTGCATCAGTATTCGGGCATGTTAGAGAGTGGTGTGGTCCATGGGATCTCGGAATTTGGGGGGTTGATTCTGGCGGCGTGTAGAGGGAGGGCGGTGCAGGGCGTGCCGTATCCTTCTGTCGCTGGGTATGCGGGGTACTAATTTCTTGAACCATTTCATGGTGTCGTCTACTTCTCTTGAATTGTAAGAAAAAAGGGGTAAGTTAAAGTCTTAAGTCTATGAAATTGTCTATCTAACAATGAATTCTAAATAACAGATCAGATTACACCAAAAACTGCTTCAACACCGCATTCAACATCGCCGTCATATCCGCATACAAGCTCTGCCTCTTCGTCTCGAATGCCTGATAGATATCATTCGCCGATCCCACAGCAATCTGATCCTCACCCTTCTGCAGTCTGCTCCAAACCTCACCGATAAACTCATCCAACGGCATACCAATCAAGTGTCCATCCTTCAAATCAGGCTGGTGCTTCGCATCGTGCAGCTCGGTCTGCACCGCGGGCGGGTAGATCTCGAGCACCTTGACGTTACCGGGTCCCTCAGCGACCTGCGTCCGCAGGGCAAGGATGAAGTGGTGCAGGGCGGCCTTGGAGGCGCCGTAGTTGGGGCAGCGCATCATGGGCACGAGGGCCATTTGGGAGGTGGTGTAAGCGAGGGCGGTCTGGGTGGGGAGGGATTGCAGGTGGGGGAGGAAGGCTTTGGTGAGGTAGACGGGGGCAGTGTAGTTGGTGATGAGCTCGGTGTCGAAGGTGGTGAGGTCGACGGAGTTGGGTTTGGAGAAGTCGAAGGGGCGCTGGATGCCAGAGTTGACGAAGATGCAGTCCAGGTCGGGGTGGGCGGTTGTGATCTCGGTGGCGAATTGGGGGATCTATATAGTGGTTAATTTGTGAGTAGAGTGCGGGAGTGGATGTGGGTGTATATGAGGGGGACGTACCTGGTCCAGCTGCATCACGTCAAAGACCTTCGATGCGACCTTGTCACTGCCATATTGCTGGACGAACTCGTCCAGGTTCTCCTTTCTTCTGCCGGCGATGACGATCTGAGTGCCGTTCTCGACCAGCTTCACGGCGAGGGCCTTGCCGATGCCCGAGGTGGCACCGATGATGAGGACTTTCTTGTAGGGAAACGACATGTTGATTGATTGTGTGTATATATGGACAAGGGTATATGAGTAATATACAGATAGATAATTGAGAATAGAGCATGAAAAAGAGGCAGACTGGCAGCTATTTATCTTGTATGCATGAAGCTGAATGACGTCCCACCCGCGGAGACTAAGCCCGATACGATCCCACTCTTGGCGAGACACCCTCGCGGAGACTAGGCCGCATTAGGAAATCCATCTGGATTTTCGCTTCCTTTTCGCGACAACCCTGGGATCATCCCCAGGACTTGAAGGGGAGAGAAGCATCCGGAAACTCCGGATTTGTAAGAAAGAGATTATTAAACACCGAGCGATAAGCCGTGGCTTGTTGGATTGATGTTGAGGGATATTTGTCACGTTCGCCCAGCGGACTCTAAGCAGTATTCGGCGATTCGGCATCTGGATTATCTTTTCGCAAGGTAGGTCTCAGCTGCGTAAATACCTCCGATAGGATCCATGCGCGCTAACGGCTTGCATTAGCCCCTGATGATCGGCGTCGGTTGTATTCCTCCTTATCGATGTAGTGACTTGGGGCTATGACAGTGTCAGGTGCACGGACCGGCAGCATGCATAGTCTCTAACAACTCGTCTCTCTCAACACTGCTCTCAACTAGACTGCGAAAGACCCCATTTTGATTCGATACCAGTTCCTGAGGTGTCCCATACTCAATGACTCGGCCGGCGTCTAGTACAAGCACGCGATCAAAGTCGACGATGGTGCTGATGCGATGCGCGATGACCAGTAACGACGAGTCGTTGTGCCCAAACTCAGTCCGGATGGATCTCTGAATCACTGCGTCTGTGGCCTTGTCAATAGCTGAGGTGGCCTCGTCTAGAACTAGGACTCTGGGCCGGCGGAGGATGGCGCGGGCGAGGCAGAGACACTGTCTTTGGCCTTGGGAAAAGTTCGCGCCTCTTTCGGTGACTGCGGTGTTTAGAATACTTGGTGGGTGCTGGTATTGCAGTTCCAGAGAGTCAAGCAGATTTTCGCTGGAATCGTCATCCTCATCTAATTTTATCAACGGCGATCCAGGACGATGCTCGTCTTGGTCAGCATCAGGAATAGTCCAGTGCACGCGTCGCAATGCAGACAAGAGCTCTTGGTCTGAGTGCTCATCAAAGGGATCGAGGTTGGAGCGAATTGTGCCAGAGAATAGGATCGGGTCTTGTGGTACGATTGCCAAGCGCGTCCGTAGCTGGCGAAGCGGAATGGTCGAAATGTCCACCCCCGCCACATGAATACTTCCTTGCTGAGCTTCCAGAAAGCGGAATAGAGCCATTGCCAGCGAGGACTTGCCTGCACCGGTACGACCGACAACTCCAACTCTGGTATTTGGCGGGATGGAAAAGGATAGATCAGACAGAACAGGTGGCAAATCAGGCGAATAACAGACGGTCAAGTCTGATACATCCACTTGGCCATCCGCGGGCCAGGACTCAGGCATCTGGTCGATTGAGTCGTATTTTTCTGCAGGGATGTCGAGAGACCACGAGACACGTTCGACGCTGTTCAGAGAGATCTCGAGGTTTGCGTATTGCCTGATCACTTGAGACATAACGCCACTATATCGCATGATGAACGTGATGGCAAATCCAGCAGTTGAAGCCGTAATGCCGTTGGAAGAGAGCACGAGTATAGAGGCCGCGGTGGTAAAAGCGGCGCCAATGGTGCTTGCGCGAACGGCGATCCAACGTGTAAGCAGCCAGAGACACCAGGATGCCCGGCAATGCCGGTCAATCTTGGCATACATTTCCTCTCGGTAGGTCTCCTCTTGACGGTAGGCACGAACGGTCATTATTCCATCCATGGTGGCACAAAGATGGTGAAGAACTGGGCTTCGCATGGTACTTTCAAGTTCCTTGATGGTGCGGATCTTTTTGATAAATAATTGTCCGTAGTAAAACGCCAGTAAGAGCGAACAGGCGGAGAGGAGATTCAGCCAGACATTCACCAGGGAGGCAGCCAACACGATGGAGAGGAGATCAAACACAACACCGAGTGCGTAGTTGAGGTCATATGGAAGGCGCGAGTCGATCAAGCTAAAGTCGGCAGAGAAGTTGTTCAGGATGTTTCCAGCTGGTATCTGGTCGAGCCACTGCAGGGGGGCGCGTAGTACTGAAGAGAGGAACTTTTCAAAAAGTCTTCGTGACATCTTCAGGGTGATGCGCACTGCCAAGAAGCTCCGACTGATCGCGACGATGCATGAGCAGATCGACAATAATAGGTAGATAGATAGGAACCACGTAATATTCACCCCGGCGGGCTGGGCTCCTTTTGTATCCATGTCTTCTGTGCTTCTGCTCTTGTCCGTGCTGTTACTCCAGATCATCATCCACAGACCTCGCCCAACTGCTAGTCCACCATAGCTCAGATGCAGGAACAAGACAAGCAAGCAAAGATACTTGGCGTCAGTTAAACGGAAAATCCGTTGACGATTGCGCCATTTTTGGTTTCGTGTATTGGCCTCACCACGCAAATCATCTTGCCTTGCTGAGTCTTCTAGTTGCTCTTGCTCACTGGGTAATAGCGTTCCTATCCAATTTTCCGAAGACTGAACATTCGATACCAGAGAGCCTTTCTTCATGTGAGAAGCCCTCTCCACTCCTGCTGCAGCCTGGGCCATATGCTTGAATATGCCCATGTCCCTCAGGTTTCTTCTGGGGCCAGCATACTGCAGCCCGTTGCCATCAAGAGCGACGACATATTCAGCTCGTGGCAAGCACAGTTCCAGGTGATAAGTTGCCAGTATGCGTGTGCGTCCCTCGGCGAGACTCCCCGTCAGAGCATACTGGTATAGATGCTGCGCCGTATGAGAATCAATGGAGCTGAAAATATCATCCAGTACAATTATCTCGGCATCGGAATAGAGCGCGCGCGCAAGGGAGATACGCCATTTCTGGCCACCACTGAGATTGCTCCCTTGGTCGTCCATCTGAGTTTCATCTTTTAGCACTAGACTATCTATGTCGCTGTTAAGTGAGCAGGCGAAAAGAACGCGCCGGTAGCGCTCCTGCTGAAACGGAAGGCCATAAAGGATGTTGTCCCTGATTGTCCCATCTTTCAAGCACGGTTCCTGAGCAACGTAGGCAACTGCCAGGCTTGGGGACCGTCGTACACAACCTTGCAGGAACTCGCATTCACCAAGAATGGCTGCAAGAACGAGACTCTTGCCAGAGCCAGACGGCCCCGTAATGATACTCAAAGCGCCGTATGGGAAGGTCAATGACATGTCTTTCAGGCTAAAGCATTTAGTGTATTGATTTTCATTCCAGCAAATCGTGGCCTGGTCCAGCACAACCCCATCAGCGGGCGCAATATCTACATCCCTGTCCGGAGTTCGAAGGAAACGTTCGATTCGTCGCAGACTGATTTGTGCTCCCGTTGCATTCAACAGGATCTGGGGAAGAACTGCAAGGGGGGTTTCGAGTGCACCGAGCAGCGAGACCGAGGTGAAAGCGAGAGACGCTGGCATGTCGTCATGTAAAAGGGCATATGTGCCTAAGCAAGCAGCGGAAACAGCAACGGGTGTAATGTTATAGGCGACGAACATGAGAAGCTCCCACTTGAAAACTTGCCACTGGTTTTGCAGTTCCTTCCCTCTTGACTCGTTGATGCGGTCTTCCCATTTTTCCTCCAAAGCGGATAATTTGACTTGGCGGATACCTTGGAGGACCTCGTTGATGACTCCCATCTTGCTGTCGCGAGACCTCATGAGACCTCTTTGTTGCTTCGAAAACTGGCTGACGGAGTAAAAGTTTCCTGCAGATACAAGAAGAAGAACTAAGCCACCGACTAGTAGGCACTGCGGTCCAAGCAAACGGCCAATAGAGAGAGCAGCAATGATGAGTTTCAACGGTGCCTCGTAAAGATGAAAGCCGACAGCTGAAAAGTCGGCCACTTTCTTTGCATCCACTGCTACCAGGTTCATGGTACCCTGACTGGATAGGTTGGTGGTACTGGCACTCTGCGGATCCGTTCCGACATTGTTCACTGCACGACAACGTAACGCTTTGTCATATATCACTGTTGATAGTTGTTCCTGCAGCCTTACTGCAATCATATTTGACGATACGTAGAGGTTCCAATTTTCGATAAGAGCAGATACGATAGTCGATGCGCCGAGCCCGAGAACAAATAGCCATAGCCAAGGATCATCAGGGTCAGTTTCCAGACGCTGCAAAATTCCCAGAATAAAAAACTGGGGCACAAATGCCATGGTCCCATTCAGGAAGGTCAAAACAAGTTGAATGAATAGCGCTTTCCGATGACTGAAAGAGAGGACCTTCCAAAGGCTTTTGCTGGAAGCCGTACATTGTTGGCTGAAAGCTTGAAATAGCTGAGGTGAACGGCTATTGTACTCGAGTTCAGGCAGGTGGCTGATCTCCAGTTCATCTTTCTGACCCGCAGAAAGCAGCTGGCCTACCCATCCGAAAAACAACTGGTCCAAGAAGGTTGTCGATCCTTTGCGATCCACCACTGTTCCATTTCGATAAACGTCCGGTCGACGAGGCAACGACGCTCCGGCCATGCAGGCACCCAAAGCGGCGCAACACTGGCCAAGTAGAAAGAACCAGGGCAGAAAGGAGAAGTCCAATGCCTGATAACATCGGTACTGATCCTCAATTAGAAGTACTATCATGGCGACGCACCCGATGCTTGTTTGAAGACCGTGTCTGAACCGAAGCGTGCACTCGTCTTCCATCCAAACTGCGACTGTACTGAGGGCCAGAGTCCCCCAGGCCCCTAATCGCATCCATCGTGTAAGATCGCCGACGGAAGCAGACACAATGCTAAACACGACAACTTCCGATAGCGATAGCCATACACCAATGCCGGTACCAATTGCAAGTGCGACGCGTGGGGTTTTGTCGGAAAATTCTCTAATTGATTGTGGTGTCGCAATTCCATCGCAGTCTTCATACTCATCCGTTTGAATCATGGTGTCGAGGGTTAATTGTCGATGTCGCAGTCGATTCACGATGGCGAT